TTAGAAGGCCAAGGGGAGAGATTTACAAGAGCCGGCTCCTTTGGCAAACCTTAATATGTAGTTGAGAAAACAACAAATTAAAACAATTATAAATTTTCTTAGGCAGTTTCAAAAGTGTCTAAGTGGATTTGGGAAAATCTGGAGAAACTTATTTTAAGGTCGTGTCTTAATCAGCAATACAGATTTGCCCAGGCTTGTGGGGAAAGAGAGGTGTACACCCCCATAATGAGGCAGGAAAGCCACAGGCCCTACCCCAAGGGTATTCCAAGACTTAGAGGAGGCAGATTGTTTTTATTTTCAGTTAAGATCAGTGGTGGTGGTGGGGGGGGGTGTTCTTAAGAAAAAGAACAAGCAGACTGTGGTCAGCCCGAGATCCCCAAGGATAATACGCAGATAACTTCCCCTAAAACACGTTTCTCGGTGTCACTGCAAGCTGGTGCAACATGACGTGGGTGCCTCTCAAAGTAGGAGGCTGTGGAATAAGCCTTACACAGAAGAGCGATTCCAATTCCACGGAATCCCATTAATTGAAATTCTGAAGTAGGCAAAACTGTTGTAAGTGAAGACAAATCACGTGTAGTGGTTGCTGGTGTAGAGGGCAGGGGACTGGCTGGGAAGAGGCCTGAGGGGCCCCAGGGCTGATGTCCTATGTGGTGGCAGGAGTGGAGCTTCCACAGGTGTGTGCGTGCGTTGAACCTCTCCCATGCTGCCCTCCAGACGGCCCCCGTCACAGGTGCGTGTGCTGCCTCCACACAACAGCTGTGAGTTCACCTCGAGCTCTCACCCATGGTGTGCCAGGGACCAGTGTTCTGGCATTCGGACCTTACTTTGCAATGTGTTAAAAAATAAGGTAGGAAAAAAAAATAAGGTAGGTCAGAAGATGGTCACAAGGCTCATCTAAGGACATTCACGGTGTTGTTCCTTCAGCTTTTCGACACGGTTCCGGATCTTCCTAGTAAGATCTGAAGATGAGAAACCGGAGTGCTTAGTAGCACCCTGTAGGGTGTAGTAGAATTTATCCTCAGATTTGCAACAGGTAGAGCAGATCACTGGCATTTTGTACGGAGCTGGATACACTTTCAATTGTGTAGCCTTCTCGTATGGGGCTCTGAAGTCCTATTACTGGTCCCTTTGAATACATGGCTTACACACCCAATCCTCTGTGCATCTGTTAATGAAACCGTTGCGTAAGTTCCTTTTCCTTTCTTTCCTTTTCTGATCAATATTCTACAGGCAAAATAACTCTGTTTAATGCCCAATATTTGAGTGAAGCTGTTTGCAGGTCCAGACACTCCCAGGTCAGATCATCCCCCAGGGCGAGTGTCCATCCACAGGGGTCCTCTTACAGCTGTACAGGTGCATCTTGTGGTCACTGTCACATTTCTCAGGAGTTAATTTTAACAAAAGAAAGGTGAAAAGCTTTTGTGTTTATTCAGGCTTTAAAACAGTTCTGGAAGGTCAGGATTATTTTCAGCGTGCCTACTACTGAGGAAATTGTGCCGGGGAGAGCTTAGAGAAGTCATTCGGGGTCACGTAATGAGGAAGTGGCCAAACAAAAACTTTCTCCTGGATGAATCAAAAAGCTCTTGCCCTTTTGCAGTTTTGTCCTAAACCTGCCTAACTAGTTTGTGATTTCTTTTTAAAAATAATTTTACTTAATGCAATGATCTCACATTTAACTCTTCCCGTTGCTTTATATTCATAATGTGAGACATTTGGGATAAGTATGGAATGAAGATTATACTTTGTTGGATCAAGAAACCTAGGTCAGGGGCACCTGGGTGGCTCAGGGGTTGAGTGTCTGCCTACGGCTCAGGGCATGATCCCGGGGTCCTGGGATCGAGTCCCGCATCGGGCTCCCTGCATGGAGCCTGCTTCTCCCTCTGCCTGTGTCTCTGCCTCTCCCTGTGTCTCTCATGAATAAATAAATAAAACCTTTAAAAAAATAAATAAAAGGAAAGAAACCTAGATCAAATCATTCTGATCCTCACTCTGGAGTTCAGTTAAGACCCTGTCATCTGCTTTGGGTCACACGGCAGGAGAAAGCCTCAAACGAAACAGCTTTGTAATGATCTCTTTGGAGACTTTAGTAACTAACTAATCCTGGAATAGAATTCAAGATGGATTTGCCTCAAACGGAATCACACGGTATTGTACCAATTGCTTTCTTGGTCTCCAGAACACGCCTGTTGACAGGTGAGCATTTAGGGCTTTTTACACTTTGCCATATTTTAAAAAATGAACAACACTTTGCAACTTTGCATGAAGCTTCATAAAGCATATACATTTGTTTACATGAGTTGTCCAGTTGCTTCCCAAAATGTTTTTCTTTTTTTTTTTTCCCAAGATGTTTTTCGAATTAACGTTCACATCAGTAATGTGTGACGTTGCTGTTCCAGATGCGGCATCTCTTTTCCTGAATATAAAAGTAGTTCATATGCATTGTAAGCAGTGAGGGGTCATGATAGGTATCCATCAAATAAATATTTTAGGAGCTCACTTCGCACTTTCTGAGGGAATGAATGCAAGGACAAATACGGTCTTTTTGAAATCATTTCTTCTATAATGTAACAAGCTAAACTTAACATGCATGTTTTCCTTTTTTGCTGACAAATGTTCCTTTGTGGTTGACTTAGTAATAAAAGTTTGGGGGGGGCAGGCAAGAGCACCTTACAAGCTGATATCACCCAGCACCCCTGAGTGGCTCCGTCGGTTAAGCCTCTGCCTTTGGCTCAGGTCGTGATCTCGGGGTCCTGGGATCGAGCCCCGTCCAGCGGGGAGCCTGCTTCTCCCCCTCCTCTTGCCCCTCTGCCCTGCTCGTGCTTCCTCTTGCTCTCTCAAATAAATAAGTAAAATCTAAAAAAAAAAAAAAAAGAGAGAGAGAGAGAGAGAAACTCTTTCAAATGAAAGCAACTGTTGCTGTTTCTCTCTGTACATGGAGGAAGGTCTTCTGACAGGTGCTCCCCCCTGAGCTCTAGGACACCGCTCACCTGGCTGGGACAAAGGGCACGAGTAACACTGTGCTCCCCACATGGCTGCCAGTCAGTTGGGCTGAAATGTGGAGACCAAGTCTGCCAGCCAGGAAAGCAGCTTTTGTTTCAACGTGTGCCGATTGAAAGGTCGTGGCTTATTGTCGCAACCCTGCACCTACATCAGTGGTGGCATCGTTAGGGACCTTGGGATTGGGCAATGAGTCTGGCCCCATGTGCATGCGTTGCTGCCAGCTGTGTACAGATGTTCCAAGTGAAGGGTGCAATCAGAGCAGCCCGTGCTCCCGGGTGAGAGCATCCCAGAGCTGTGTGGGTCAACCCAGGGTTGTGGTTGGAAGAATTCGGGGAGCATTAGGGGGCCCCTGGAGCAGATCAGGGCCTGGAGGGGGGAGGCTGTGCTTGGCATGGTCGGGCGGTTGTAGTTCCCAGCGAGAGATCTCCCCACCACCGGATTTGAAGGAGGCCACAGAAGAGGGAAATCCCCATAGAGTTCAAGAGGATGTGGCGATTGCTTCATATTTAACGTCGGTGTCAGTGCTTGGGGTTGATGATGTGGTGTCTGAACATGCGCTCGCTGCCGTGGCACCAAAACGCAAGGGCAGCCAGTCAGGTGATGCAGTTCCCGTGGGGAAGGAACAGAGATGCCTGCAAAATAGAAATGTAAATGTGGAAAGAGTCTCCGGGGAAAGTACCTGCGTCTTGACTGCGGCCTTGTTTCGTGTCCAGCCACCTGGCCACCGGCTGCGGTCGCGCCTGTGCCCGTGCGGAAGAACCTGGCTCGCGCTGAACCTACCCTCCAAAGCCACAGGCCATATTTCTTCACTCTTACGATAATTTGGGTTCAAAGTATATAGTCCCTTAACAAGCTCCCTGCTTCAAAAGCCCCAGACCTCTTTGTTTGGCTATGCTTGCTGAAACACGTCTTTCAAAGAGCCAGGTTTGTAAAGAGGACTTCATTATAATCTCCTGTGCTTTTAAAGATAGACCGACGGCTGTAGTGCCATAATCTAGCTTGGTCCCCTAATTTAAACTGTTTCTTGTACGAAGTTAGAACATGAGGGAGTTCAGCGTGCCAAGGCTGTGTCCTGCCAAAGAATGCAAAGCAGTTGCACCTCCACCTGTTCTGGGAGGATTCGCACGGCGTGTGGACAAACAGAAGCACGGGTTGGCTTCTCAGTAGTTGAGTGTGTTTTGAAATGTGTGTTTCCGCGTCATTATTTTCTGGATGGATGATTAGGCCTTTGATTTGTTCTTTGATGCGTTAGTCGAGAAGAATATTTATAATCTCTGGCCAGTTGGATTTTCATCTACACTTTTGCCGTCGATTTTAAGCTGTACGACCTTGTGGTCAGAAAACATCGGCCGGCGTCTGTTAACGTTCGTAAATATCCCTCGGACACGCAGTAATGTGATAATTGTATTTTGTAAAGTAAAAAGTTCATTATAGAGGTACTAATTCAACATTGTAATTGCATTATTTAAATACCCTATGATACACATTTTTTTTTTTTTTGTCTGCTAAAGCTCTAAAAGACTATTTTGTCTTGGGGCACCTGGGTGCAATGGTGGAGCGTCTGACTCTTGTTTTTGGCCTGGGTTGTTATCTCAGGGTCATGAGATCGATCCCTGGTCGGGCTCTGCTAAAGATTCTCTCTCCCTCTGCCCCTCTTCTCTCTCAGACTTGTGCTCTTTCTATCTCTCTCAAATAAATAAATCTTTTTTTTTAAAGACTATTTTTGTCTTAAAGCTTTTCATCGAATTTCCCCTTGAATTTTTAACATTTCAAATGATTCCGTGCATTATAGGGATGAGCTATCTCTTATGGCAAACTGTATCTTACATACACAAACATTTTCTTGTCGCATTCATCTTAGTGACCTTTTATCAGAATTAAGATTGTAAGTCGCTAAAACTCGCAAAGTTAGGTGAAATTTGTGAACATTTCATTTTAGTTTTGCTACTTTACTTGGCATTTCACGTAAAACCTTTTTTTTTCTCCCTTTTTTGCAGTCTGCCAAGGCACGAGTAACCGGCTCACCCAGTTGGGCACTTTTGAAGACCACTTCCTGAGCCTTCAGAGGATGTTCAATAACTGTGAGGTGGTCCTGGGGAATTTGGAAATTACCTACATGCAAAGGAATTATGACCTTTCCTTCTTAAAGGTTAGTTCAGTCAATTTGATTGTCTTACCCAAAGGATAGAAGGAAATATAAGGAGATAAGGACCTTGAGATAATGTAGTTGGAAGTGTATTTGCTTTTGCTACAGCAGTTATGTGTCCTGGGGGAACTACAGATGCAAGTTTTATCAGAAAACCACTTCACCAGCTAGTGTCAAGTCAGAGCTACGAAATAGTGTCAGAGAGAAACAGGCTGGCCTGCCGTTTCACTCTCATCAGAGACACTGATATTAAGCATTTAACCATTGCTGTCGCTGTGGTATCCTGGGATATTGGCTCTTTGAGAAAAAGACAAAGTCCTACTTTGTAGCATTTTCCCATTTCCTTGGTGTAATCACTCCCCCTCTAGTTGAATCCCAGCTACACCGCTCCTTCCATTTCCCACATGTCTCATGGTGGGCTCTCGTGAGCCACCAGGAGCCAGCTCTGAAGGCTTTGGAGTTGGGTGGTGGTTGAACTCTGGGTTTGATTGGCCTTCTGGGTTCTGTGTTGCTTTGTATAAGAAAGCGTGCAAGACGGATACAACACGAACAGATAAAACGTTTTCATTTTCTTCTGAGCATAGTGAACACCAAGTGAAACGAGAGTCAGAGCTTTGCTAAATAATGCACGTTGCCCTTTATAATCGCCAGCAGGCTCTAGAGGCAGAAGTACCTGAGTCGTCGTAAATCCTGTCACCTCCCGTATCCCCGCTGTAGTCATCCACCTGCTTTATAGTTGTCAGTCACTCGCGTGCGTGGTTGGCTTAGGTGTCCTGGGCTTTCTTGACCCATTTTAGACCTTGCATATTTGAGCTCTTGACAAGAGAAATAACACGTTCACGTTTGATCTCCTTAGACCATCCAGGAAGTTGCCGGGTATGTATTGATTGCCCTCAACACGGTGGAGAAGATTCCTTTGGAAAACCTGCAGATCATCCGAGGAAATGTGCTCTATGAAAACACCCATGCCTTATCCGTCCTCTCCAACTATGGCTCAAATAAAACTGGACTGCAAGAGCTTCCCCTGAGAAACTTGCATGGTGAGAGGCCAGGGCACCGGGAGGCTGGGGCTGCAGACAGCAGCTCAGACCAAAATATTTTTTAGTGCCACTCAGAGAAGACTTTTATTCATCAAATACAAATGTATTGAGCACCAACTCTGGGCAAGGTGCAGTAGGTGGAAGTGACTAAGAAGATAGTAGGTGATGGGGAGGGAAGGGAAGTTTTAAACCCGGTACCACTTCTCCTATATTCGTGGGGAAATATTCAGAGAGTGAGTAAGAAATGGTAATGGTTCTGGGACATAGAGACCAGATGACCTTGGCTGAATAAACTCCAATCCTAATACCTGGACCTCAGGTGTAAGGGACATACATCGAAAACCTCCCCTACTTGGGACAGTCTTCAGCGCAATGCTGTAATACAGAAGAACAGAGGATGACGGTATTGCAGAAGAACTTTGAATTCCTGGGAGTAGGTCCCTCGTGAAGGTCCCTCAAGTGGAAGCTAAGATGATAGAAGGGATAGGAAGTTGATTTAAATAAAATTGAAGATAATGAGGAGCATGCCCTTGCTGTGTGGCAGGTGCAGTGCCCATCCCATTGCATCGGCAACTTCACGCCCACCCTTCAACGCAGGTGTTTACACTCCCACCATCTTACACATAAAGAAGTGGTGGTAAAGTCATTCTCCCAAGGTCCCACGTTAGTGAAAAAATGGCCAGGAATGGCCACCAAAGCTCTGCCCCCCAGGGTCCTCGCCCTTCCCATGTGCTGTGCAGTTGTGACGGGAAGGGAGCCCATCAGGAAGAGGGGGACGAGAGCAGAGGGTGCATAACAGAGGGGGTCCTGGGAACGGTAGGAGCCCCACAATGGATGTGCTGGGATGAGGTGATGCATCCAGACCGAGCTCAGAAGCGGCTGGCACAGCCCTCCAGCTGGGCCCCTGGGTTTGGCCATCCTGTAAAACTGCCCGAAGACTTTCCACCCACCACTTTAGCTGCTCAGAACACCCACCCACATGGTCTGCGTTTATGCTAATACTAATTTGTGCTATTTACACGTTTTGCGAAATGGTCTGTACATTGAGCATGCCTCAATCTGCCCGTCTGGCCTCGTGCTATCTCGTGGTGACAGGCAGATGTGGTTAAGGGCATGGACCCCGGAGCCAGGATGTCTGGGTTCTAGCCCTGGCTCCGTCACTCACCAGCCAGATGCCCCTGGAGCAGATCCTCCCTGTGTCTCAGTTTCCTCCTCTTTAAAAAACGTGCATAACAATGGTAACAGACTTCCTGGGGGTGTTGAGAAAATTAAGTGAATTACTGTGGAAAAAGCACAACAGTTATTCCTGTTGTTGGTATTATTTCTGTTGTTGGCATGGGGTCGTATGAAGGCAGATTATTTAATGTTATTAAATCCTTATTCTATATGAATTATTTAGTAGTAATGAAGCACCGTTGTTAATAATTAACTCAGTGCCCACCACAAAGTATAAAATCATCAAATACTGAAAGTAAAAATAAAAGTGACTGCTGCCAGACTGATGACCTCTTCCTCTGCCAAGCTACCAGTCAGGGGCACCTGGATCGTCCAGGACCTTTGCTGCCTTCCTTTTACTTCTCACCAGGTTTGCAGGTTGTAGGTGTTTTTGTAAGCCCCACCCCCCTTGACCCTCCATCGTGCATTCTCTCTTGGCACCGTGGTCTGTTGTCCTGAGTGTCACAGCAGCCTTAATGCCCCTACGTTGTGTTTCGGGTCTGACCTCTCAGCAGAGATTTATCCTCTTGACTCTGGCTGCCTCCTGACTAAATGTTCTCTCTTGATTGTCCTGCTGTCATCTTTGACTTTCTACCCAGTGCTCCACAATTTGGCCCTTCGGGACCTCCCAGCCTTCCTTCTGTGGTTCCTTTGTTCTGCACCATCCGCGGAAGCCAACGCCTGCCTGGCCCTCCGACGTGCGTTTGCTGCAGTCTTCTGGCTGCGGAAAGCCTGCTGCGCCCTCCCCTCTGTATTCCACAATATGCTCCTGTTTCTGTTCTGGGAACTGTCATTCTTTACAACAGCCTCAGAGCTCTTCCCGGGGAGGACCTTTCCTTGTCCACATTGGTACTTTGTGCTTGTGGTAGTCCCATTCCCTGCTGGTGGCGGTGGGGGTGGGGGTGGGGGGTTGCCAGGCTTTATTTATGTATCTGTATTGAAATTACAGACAGTCATGGGACTATTGTGAGGATTAACTAAGATAATGCATTTAAAGCAACTCGCAGAGTACCTGGCCCTGTCATGTGTCATGCATGGTCTCCCGTGGCATGAGCTCATTGACCCTGTGACCTGTCTACCTTGTGAGCTCCTAGGTCCTCCTTATCCTTGCTGCAGTGGTTTATGCACATACGACATAGTAACCGTGTCTGTCTAATGTCGTACATGCAATACTCTCCCTTTGCTCACCCTCGAATTTTTTTAGCCATTACAGATTTTTCATGTTGTATTGTTTCTTCCTTTGAAACAGTCATACCGTCCTTCATGCCCTTTGCATTCCTAGTGTCCACCATCTCTTCATCAAACATACAGATTCTTCTCACCTTCCCCTCCCACTCCCCTGCCACTTTTTCTGGTGAGGAGCTCCAGAGGCAGCTCACAACATCACCCCTTCTCGTGGCCTCCCAGCCCACGGTGGTGACTGCCACCACCTGTCTGTCCCGTTTGCCCCTTATATCATCATACCCCTTTCTTCCTCCCCGTACTTCTGAATTATGATAGTTTCTGGATCAGAGGCCCATTTCAGGAGGCAAACCCTAACCCCTCCGCAGCACTATCATCAACTCATTTTTCAACTGCCCCCCCTCCCTCCGCCACAGCTCTATAGGGAGTCTTGCTCGCACACCGGCATTATTTTAGCAGAAGTCAAAATGTGAAGAAGTATTGCATACGTACTTTGTGGAAGTTTAAAGACAGGGCCGTTTGATAACTGAGGTTCTTTTCACGCGCAGAAATACTACAAGGCGCTGTGCGCTTCAGCAATAACCCTGTCCTCTGCAACGTGGAAACCATCCAGTGGCGGGACATCGTTGACAACGATTTTATAAGCAACATGTCGATGGACTTCCAGAACCAAGCGGGCAGGTGTAAGTGTTCCATAAATGTCCTCTGCCTGTAGCTCCTGTGGGTGGGACAGAGCTGTCGTGTGTTGGGGTGGTCAGATGACAGAGAACAGAGTTCATGTTTAAGCCACATTCATCTAAAGCAAAAATAGCTAACAATTGATCCACCCACTACAAGAGCACTTATCCGGGACAGAGGGTAAAGGCTTTTTCTCGTGACGGTATGCCTGCTAACAGAGCAGATCACCCCCTCCACGACAGCTGAGCCCTCATGTGGCCATGGAGAAGAGCTGTCGGCCCGGGCATGGGGGCTTCTCCCGTCATGCCCGGAGGAGACAAGCCAAACGTTTGTGTGCTTCCGACTTGCTGCTGAGCCTCCAAGCAGCGCCAGGCTCTCCGGAAGCACGTAAGGTGACCTCTGCCCTCCTACACAGAGCCCCAGGCAAAGTTGGGCACGGTGCACAGGGGGGGCGTTTGTCCACATTCCCCTGGTGCCAGTGACCCGGTCCCTGCCATTCATTGGCAGAGCGGCCCGTGCCAGGGAGAGGCTGGCAGGGGGCCAGGCTGTAGGTCGGGGCAGCACCACTTGGCCCCTTGGCAGTGCTGTGTGGGAAACTCTGAAGACACATGTTTACAGTTACCAAGCTCCGCTTGGCTTCTCCCTTCCTGATCTCCCTGGTCTTTCAAGCCTTTAAAATAAGAAGTCATCACCATTTCCTGCTTCTCTGTTTCCCTAAACTGTGCAGTGGATGCACGTTTTTGTTTTGGGGTAGGTTTTTTTGTTTTTGTTTTGTTTTTTTTTTTTTTTTTTTTTTTTGGTGTCAAAGAATTTGGAGTTCACATGGATCTTCAAAATTGACTAGAACCCCTTTCTTGTTACTTCATTTTATCTTATTGTATTTATTTGTTTGCTTATTGTAGTGAGATACCCTTGACATAAAATTTACCGTCTGAACCATTTTTAAGCATACAGTTCAGTGGTATGAGGCACATTCACACTGTGATACAATCATCACCACCATGCATCTCCGGAACTCTTTTTATCTTGCAAATACTGAAACTCTGTCCCCATGAAACAGTAACTCCCCCTCCCCCTCCCCCAGCCCCTGGCAACCAGCATTCTACTTTCCATCTCTACAATGTGACTGACTGCTCTAGGGACCTCATTCATGGTCTTTGTCTTTTTGTGACCGGCTTCCATCCCTTAGTGTAATGTCCTCAAGTTTCATCCAGGTTGTAGCATGTATCAGAATTTTTTTCTTTATATGGATGAATAAACATCCCATCGTGTGTATATATGTATGCACATGCTTTGCTTATCCATTCATCAGTTGATGAGCTCTTGGGTTGCTTCCACCTATTGACAGTTGTTAATAATGTCACCATGAACCTGGGTGTTGAGCTCCTTTGTTTTATAAATACATTATTCCAAGAGATATTCGGCATGGTACCGTGTTTTCAAGAAATTGGAAATTTTGTTCTACAGTGCAAAATTTTGTGTTACCTGTGACATCCGGGTTAACCTTTCTGCAGCTATCTAATGGACAGTGGGGAGTTAAATCGTGGACATTTATAACAACAGAAAAACTGACACAGGAAGGCTGTGAGGCTAATACAGATTTGCCATAGACTGAATCAACCAGCCCAAATGGCACACCTGTCCTCATCACACCGGGACTGTGGGAAAGAGCCTGAAAGAAAATGTTGGGATGGAAGAATGATAGATATATGTAGGAACAAGATCCAAATATGCCAAAGCTACGAACTGCAAACTGATATGGTTATTGAGTTAAGAATAGATGGGCAAGGGGATCCCTGGGTGGCTCAGCAGTTTAGCGCCTGCCTTTGGCCCAGGGCGTGATCCTGGAGTCCCGGGATGGAGTCCCACGTCAGGCTCCCTGATGGAACCTGCTTCTCCCTCTGCCTGTGTCTCTGCCTCTTTCTCTCTCTCTCTCTCTCTCTCTCTTCTCTCTCTCCCCCCCTCATGAATAAATAAATAAAATCTTTTTTTAAAAAAAGAATAGATGGGTAAGAATAAGCTACACATGTAGAAGAGAAAGTAAGAGTAAGCCTTGCTAAATTAAATGTCCATAAAGAAATGACATTTCAAGCAAATGAGGGAAGGATTTATTATTCAGGAAATCATTCCAGAATGATTGAACTATTAAGGGGAAAATATCAAAGGGACAGAACTATAATGATTTTTTTTAAAAAAAAAGACACTGTCCACCTGCTACCTGTATTCTCCTCATTAATTACCCAGCAGGAACAAGAATAGGAGCCTGCCACTCCTTTTGTGCTGAAGGAACCTCTGCCCCAGCCCAGTAATCTTCATGGCACATGTGTTTTCTGAGAACTTGCCTCATTTAATCTATATCTTAAAAAAAAAAACTCATAAGGTGATTAAAGTATTTTATGGACAATGGATTTGAGATTCAGAAAGGTCACCCAGAGCACCCCTACATGATGTTATTGCTGCTGTAGCTTGGAATTTGAAGTTAGATTGGGTGGGTTTACTGAGGTAGAAATTAAAAAAAAGAAATCAGTCATCCACTTTATACACCAATATACATTCCAGATTGTATGATGTATAATGCATTGCTGAATATATAAGTAAGTGCTAGGAAAGAAACATAAAGATGGATATTGGTAATACCAAGTTGAAGAAAAGCCAGTCGGATACCATAAAAGAAAACTTAGATATGAAAAAAATCTTAATGACAAACAGCAAAAACATTGTACATCAGCTGCTTACCTTGAAAAGGGTTGATATTCTTGATAATATGATCGTATAAAGTAGTCTTAGGTATCCCACGAAAAAGATGAACCTCTCAATAAAAAAAAATGGGCCAAAGACATGAGCAGTTTGTGCCCTCCACATACAAAGATGGCCAAGAAATAAAGTAAAATGTTATTTCTTACTGTTATATTAAAAAGGTCAAAATAAAATAAAGAAGCATCATTTTTGCCTTTGCTAAAGATTTGGATTCCTTTTGATTTTTAGATACCTGGATCAGGAGGGGTATGTAGAAGTAGAAATTCTTATATTCTTCTTGTGGGCATATAGATTAGTCAAATGTGGTCAGAGGTAGAATTTCAGCAATATGTATTGAAGCTTTAAAGTATGCACTCCTCATGTCTAGGAAGACTAAGAAAAAAATATTAAGAGGAGTGAAAATTACAAGGATATAGAAAAATATTTTTGTGCAAGAATATTCCTTGCAGCCTTATTTATAATTAATGTTGGTAATAACTTACCTATGTAAAAATGAGAGCCTGGTCAAAGCCATGAAAATCATGTTATGTAGACGGATATTTAAAGGCATGGAAAATTACCATGTTTTATTAGCTTTTTTTAAAGTTATGATACAAAGTATAGTGTGACATCAATTCTTATACATGCATATACTTATGTATATATTGGTTATCTCTGCATGATTCTCATTTCTTCCTTTTTTCTATTATCCGTATTTTATTTTTTTTAATATTATTTATTTGCGAGAGAGAAAGCGAGCAAGCAGGGGGAAGAACGGAGGGAGAGGGAGAAGCAGGCTCCCCGCTGAGCAGGGATCTCAATGCAGGGCTCAATCCCAGGACCCTGAGATCATGACCTGAGCCAGAGGCAGATGCTTCACTGACTGAACCACCCAGGTGCCCCTCTGTTATCCATATTTTCTATAATTTGCCTGCATTTCCTTTTTTGTTACATAGGGTTAATAATAGAATTATAAGCAAACCTCAATTCATTGGTTGGCACGTGTTTTTCCGATACGGGAAGGTGCCATTAAGCATTTTTATTTTAAATATTTTTTGTTTGGGGACCCCTGGGTGACTCAGTGGTTGAGCACCTGCCCCTGGCTCAGGGCATGATCCGCCGTCTCAGGCTCAAGTCCCACATCAGGCTCCCTGCCTGGAGCCTGCTTCTCCCTCTGCCTGTGTCTCTGCCTTTCTCTTTCTGTGTCTTTCATGAATAAATAAATAAAATATTGTAAAAAATAAGTAAGTAGGGATCCCTGGGTGGCGCAGTGGTTTGGCGCCTGCCTTTGGCCCAGGGCGTGATCCTGGAGACCCGGGATCGAATCCCACGTCAGGCTCCCGGTGCATGGAGCCTGCTTCTCCCTCTGCCTGTGTCTCTGCCTCTCTCTCTCTCTCTCTCTCTCTCTGTGACTGTCATAAATAAATAAATAAATAAATAAATAAATAAATAAATAAATAAATAAATAAATTAAGTAAGTAAGTAAGTAAGTAAATAAATAAATAAATACTTTGTGTTTCGTAAACCTACTATATTCTTTAATAGGGATTGAGAACTGTAAGTATAGGGCAAACAGTAAAAATAACATCACTGTGCAGACACAGACACTTTTAACACTTCTGGGTACTGCTTCTCTTGCCTGTCTCCCTCTCTGTCTCTTTACTTCTGTCTCTGTCCCTCTCATCTTCACAGCCCGCACCGTGCATTTGGGGTTTGGCCTCACCATCTCTCATGATTCCTAGGAGCACCAGCATTGCACTAATGCCCTTCACTTGTGGGGTGACTGGAAAGATTTTCAGTCTCATAAAGGGGTGTCCTAGTTCCACAGTAACTTGGGAAATCATCAGCTCTTCCATTTGAAATCTAAATTCTACCGGGAATTAAATTCTTCCTGACTGTAGGAGACTTTGGGGCACACATGACCTCCTTCAGGTTGTTGTGTCTTTGCAACAAAAGATACCTGCACGGCTGGATCTTTTTGCAACAAACTTGGGTAGTCGATCTGTTCTCTTTATACAGATAGAAGGCTTTGGTCTTCAGGTATCTCAATGCTAATGGAAAAACGAAACACAACCGATGAGATTTAAAAAACCTTGTAGCTGTAATTTGTAGTTGATCATTTACAAAAAACTGCAAAAACCGATCGACATCAATATTTCCACGCAGTAGCTTAAAATCAATAGCTACAGGTTTAGCTAATCAGCAAAGCGATGCACACTGTGAACATTGGACCCTTTGAGCAGCGTCAGGACCTCTGTCTGGCTTCGGGTCTAGGAGTCTTTATTTGCAGGCCCTCATCTCCCCAAGATCACTGACCCCCTGGTCCCTCGAGACTGGCACAGTGAGTGTAGTGTGTGCACCAACCCCACCAGACTGGACACCCTTCACACTGAGATGCTGAAAGATCCCCAAGGCTGAACAGAGGTGGAGATTGGACCATTTGGACCTCAGTTGTCATGGCCTGTGACAAGTCAGTAATTCTCCTGCGTTGGTTTCTGCAGCTGAAATGTCAAAAAAGCAGAACATGGTTCCTCTTTTTTTTTTCCTTGTGATAGTCTTTCGAGTCATCCTACAAACCAATCAGCAAACAAACCAACAAAAGAATAAGAAATGTGAAAGCTGTTCCTTGTTTCTAGGACATCGCTTTGCTCAGGGCAGGTTGTCATCAGTTCCTTCCATCCATTCTCTTCCTCTGAGATAGAATTTAACGATTACTTTTATGTTTTAGGTCAAAAGTGTGATCCAAGCTGTCCCAATGGAAGTTGCTGGGGTCCGGGAAAGGAGAATTGCCAGAAACGTAAGTCAGCAAGCAGAATTTCAGATAAATGTGTGCCCACGTCCCTCCCCTTATACTCAGCTGATGGTAGGTGTTTGCCCTTTGACGACTCCAAAAAAGCAGTTGCATGAATGACCTCCTTGCAAATCTCCCTGCATGCGGTTAATCTGGTGTGGGCCATCTGGGGCACTGGAGCTTGTCATTAATGAGTGAAAGTCAGCCACACAGATGCCACCAGTTTCTTTGAACCGTATGTTTGCTGCATTTTCCTGGGAACAGAAGACTTGCCTGTGTTACCTGAGTTTCAGGACACTTCTTGTTTTCTCTCCCTTGGGGGCCCGTCTACACAGAAGCACGAGCAACCCTTTTAGAAGGGTTCTGCTGGGATCCTTAGCTGAGGAGCATGGGTGGCCAAACAATCTGGGGACGGCCCCCTTTTCAAGTTCACTGTCGTTCAGTTTGCTTGTGATGTGACTGTTGGGTCCTTTTACACACTGCTTTCGGGCACGCACTTCTGTTATTTGATGTGTTTCCATATCACCCGAAATCTCAGCTCTCGCCAGCGTGTAATTAGTGAGCAGCTCTAGAAGTCTAGACCTGATCTGATGAGTCCTCCTAAGTGATTAAAAATAAGTGGGGAAAAGAGGTGCAATAAAGAAAGGTTGTGATTCAGTGTAATTTGGCCGAGTGCGGATGTTTGGGAACTTGGACGAGCCGGGCAGCCACTAAATTCATCACTTTGTTCACCTTTTCACCAACTGTGTTTGCAAGTACCCTGCAAGGCCCCTGGGGAATGACCCCTCACCCCCCTCCCTGGCTCTTCAGCTCACCGTTGACTTTTGCTCCTTTCCAGTGACCAAAATCATCTGTGCCCAGCAGTGTTCGGGGCGCTGTCGCGGCAGGTCCCCCAGCGACTGCTGCCACAACCAGTGTGCCGCCGGCTGCACGGGGCCCCGCGAGAGCGACTGCCTGGTAAGGCCGGCCCTGCCCAGCAAAGCAGGAGCTCTTGTCCTGCCTTCACCACTTACTTCATGACTTCAGGCAAACTGTAGGACCCCTCTGTGTCTCGGTGTCCCTGCCTGACGATGCTGGATGGTACTGCATGGTGGCCTGGGTGGCACCACGCCTGTGGCGTCCGCACCAGGACTGGGCGAGGGATGAGCAGCAGCACTAAGTGTGAGCTGTCTGGCCTTGGCGTTGGCTGTGGCCAGCTGCACTGTTGTCACGCTCCTCATTATTCTGCTTCAGTACAGTGGAGGCGACAGCAGAAGGCCCCTAACATACCTCTACAGAGGTACTGGGGGACATACCCAGAGCCACACAGACCTGAGGGCCCTGGCTGGAGCTGCACCCGGATGTTCCGACCCACTCACTCTGCTCTTTCAGAGCCTCCTGCACCCCCCACCCCCACCCCACCCCGCACCAGGGGCCTCGGAGTGCTCATGTTTGCCCCCATTACTGCAGAAAGCCCTGACAAGAGCCTCCCTGCCCCAGTGAGCTCGGGCCCCCCCGTAGGTGGCATCTCACGGTGCTTGCAAGCACCTTGGGAGTCCTGGAGACATGAGGGCTGGCAGACGGAAATCCTGGAGGTGGCCCCAAACCCTTGTGGGCTCCAGACAAGAAGGCCCACCTGGGGTGGAATCCAGAAGACTCCAGTTTCAGGGAGAGGGGGATTTTTGTTTTTATTTTACTTTATTTTTTTAAAGATTTTATTTATTTATTCATGAGAGACACAGAGAGGGAGGCAGAGACACAGGCAGAGGGAGAAGCAGGCTCCATGCAGGGAGCCCGATGCGGGACTCAATCCTGGGACCCCAGGATCACTCCCTGGGCTGAAGGCAGACGCTAAACCGCTGAGCCACCCAGGGATCCCCAGAGAGGGGGATTTTTAAATTCCAGAGGCTGCATCCCCGGCCCCAGGGATTTTTGACTTGGTTGGTCTGAGCTGATTGTGATGTGCTGCTGGACGGGAGACGGCAGGTGGGTCTGAGGGCCACCGCTGTCTGTGACCTGGTCCCCTCTGCATGGTGCCCTCCCTCATCAAGGTTTTCTGCAGTTTGGCAATAAATTCTAAAGAATAGAATTCATATGGCAGTAAATTCCAAAGAACCTCAAGGGTTGTTTTTTTTTTTAATTAAGGGGTACCCAATAAATTGAGTTTAAAAATAATTTCACTCCACAGTTACCACGGTAGTATGTGAACTCCATCATTTTGTAAATTAATAAAAATGTGGGTTTTTTCATCGTAATCCATAAATCATCACAGCTAGGACAGTACAAGAAAAATCAGACTTTTAAGATCTTGCTGAATCTTCTGGAAGTTTTTTTTTTTGGGGGGGGGGTTTGTTTAAATCAAATTCCTGGACATGAACTGCAAGGTGAGCTTTCTGCACACAGTTGAAACAGTCCCGAGCACCCTTGCTCAACCTGACCCGTACATGTTGTCCCTCCTGTGATAGGTCTGCCGCAAGTTCCGGGATGAAGCCACGTGCAAGGACACCTGCCCACCCCTCATGCTCTACAACCCCACCACCTACCAAATGGACGTCAACCCAGAGGGAAAATACAGCTTTGGTGCCACCTGCGTGAAGAAATGCCCCCGTGAGTTCATCACATGTGAAAAATTTTCATTTATCAGATGGCTGCTTCCTGTTTGGTCTCCTCTTGGAACCTTGAGTCCTTTGTCTCGGGTAGTCTTTGGGTCCATATATTTGCCTCACTGTCAGGCAGGTGACCATGGACCTGTCCCGGTGCACAGATGAGGTGCCCGCCCGCTGCCTTAGGTGTTAGGTGATGGCTGCTGCTCTGTCCAGCAGCGTCTGTTCTCGTGTGTGTGGTGGCCAGGACAAGAAACACACCCCGGGACTGAGGTCCAGCTGGAATAGTCTAGAATATTCAGTTGTCTGGTTGGAGGATTCACTGTTTAGCTCTCGTGTCTGGCAGGTATTGAAAATTAGAGAGTGTGTCAGAAGACCTGCCTTCTTCAGTGGTTAAAATTCTGATAAAAAAATTGTGCCTCTTGAGGGAACTAAAACTCCATTGGAGTCTCTTTGTGTGTTGTTTGGTTTTAATTGTCTCAGATTGGGTTTTGTTTATTGGCATTTGCCTTCAACAGGAGGCTTGGTGTTCGGGGCAATGATGATATGAATTATGCCCTCACAGAGAAAGTCTAACGTTGTCTAACTGAAGAGCTTTAGAAACCAATCTTGATTTCTAGGAGGAGAGACTAAGAGAAAAAAAATCGTAAGCGTAGTTACGAGGGGGCAGATTTGCCCTACCAGGTTTATGGACATGAAAACTTTTAAATTCTGTATGGAAAAAAAAAAACACATAAACAGAATAATACACCATTGTAATGGAACTAACTTGCTAAAAATTTTTTAAATTCCCACAACCATGACACAGGTCTAATCTTTGAGAGAGGGAGGGCCTTTACTAGGTGGGGTTTAAAAAATCCGCAGGGGAGCCTGCTCCTCCCTCTGCCTGTGTCTCTGCCTCTCTCTCTGTGTCTCTCATAAATAAATAAATCTTTAAAAATTAAAAAGAAAAATCTTTAAAAATCCACAGAAAAACAGAGCCCGAGAGCAAAAGCAGACAATTTACAGAAAGAATTACGAATGTCCGATAATTATGTTTGAGGACATACTTGGGGAAGTCAAAACAGGAACACGTAGAGCTCCAGAAACATATTGATATTTGTGTTAATATTAACATACATAAATTACTTGCACGTGAGCAGAGGCTCAGAAGGGGACCCGTGTGCCTGGCTCGCTGCAGAACCAGCTGGCGGTACGCACCCCCAGCCAAGGGAAGGCTGCCGGGCTGGACGGGACCTCAGAGGGGGCCGTCGGCCACAAGTACTACCCGCATCCTCAGACGTGGATAGTGCTTGATAGTACATCCTGGAGGCATCATCCAAAAAGAAAAATGAGCTGCGAAGAGATGTTTGAAACCATGTTCTACTTGACCCATCTGTTTCCTGCCCGTGACGGGCTCTGTTTCTCCACATCAAGGCTGGAGAAGCCATTAAAGCTCTCGAACCTGCTTCCTTTTCTGTTTGCAGCCTCTCATTCTTTGTCCTTCAAGTAAATAAAACCCGAGGATTATAGGCCCTTTTCATCGGCCCCTTTATAGGGGAACATGAGACAATGGTGTGGGGCCCAGAAACACCTGGTGCCGCTTTCGCCACCTTGCTTCCTTGTCTCTCCAGGCAACTACGTGGTGACAGACCACGGTTCATGTGTCCGTGCCTGCAGCTCTGACAGCTACGAGGTGGAGGAGGATGGTGTCCGCAAGTGTAAGAAGTGTGAGGGGCCTTGTCGCAAAGGTAGGAAGCCCACAGTGTGTGGTCGTGAAGCCCCCCCCCAGCCCCCTCCGCGTCATACTTGGAAGAGATCGGAGCAAATCTCTTCCTTCATCTTGGGCCCTGTCCTTGGAGGACGCTCAATGCCAATTGACTCCTCCTTATTAGAAGACTTTATAATTGTCGTTTTTGTAAAAATTTCCGAACACCTAGAAATGTTGCAAGACCAGGGCAATGAACACCCGTACACCTTCCGCATAAATTCACCACTTTTTAGTGTGTTGCCTCATTGCATGCTTGTGTGTGTGTGTGTGTGTGTGTGTGTGTGTGTGTGTGTGTGTGTACATGCCCTGGTCAACTTTTTTCCTGAGTTACAGGACAGAGATATCATAACACTTCACCCCTACATTTGTCAGCATATTTTCTTCCTTCTTCTCCTAAGGAAAAAGATTCATGCTCAGGATTATTTAACATCAATTTAGTACTCTTTTCTGCTATTCAGTTTAATTCGGGCTTCCCCCTCCTGTCCCGATCAAGTCATTTTTATTTTTTTTTCCTTTTTCCTTTTTTTTTTTGACTTTGAATTCAATTTGCCAGCATATAGTATAACACCAGTGCTCATCCCATCAAGTGCCCTCCTTAGTGCCCGTCACCCAGTCACCCCATCCTCCTCACTCCTCCCCTTCTGCAACCCTTTGTTTTTTTCCCCAGAGTTAGGAGTCTCTCGTGGTTTGTCTCTCTCTCTAATTTTTTTCCCTCCTCACTCAGTTTCCCTCCTTTCCCTTATAATCCCTTTCACATTTTCTTATATTCCCATATGATGATTGTCCTTCTCCAATGCTGATTAAGTTATTTTTAGCTGCTTATCAATCCAGAACCCAATCACCCATGATGGGTTTCATGTAGATGTCCTGCCTCCAGTATCTTCATTCATCGACAGCTGTATCTCAGCTCCCCTCCGCCACTGGCTTTTCTTCTCCCTTCTCCCCACATGACCTCATGTGAAGAGTCTAGGCCAGGTGTTTTGCAGTGTCCCTCAGTTTGGCTTCACTGGCTGTTTGTCCTATGGCCACACTCCGGTTGGGCGTTGTGGGAAGGAGCACTGCGTAGGTTGTGTTGATTTCCTCTCGTTGTATCTCATCAGGTGGCCTATGATGCCATGTTATTTCATTACTGATGATGACAAATCAGTAAAGATTTCTGATGGCTATAAAAGAGTGATTTTTCTCTTTCTATCATGTCTTCACTTATTAGTTGGCATTCCTTTTTTAAAAAAAAGTTTAGTTCCCGTGTGAAATCATGGAATCCTTTATTCAGTTTCTAGAAATCCATCCCTGTCATTCATTTGGGTGCTTAAATTGTCCCACATGCGGCCAGGAGGAGCCTCTCCAGAGGCCTCCTGCATCCCTTTGGCACATCCCATGTCCCAGTCATGTCTTCTACTCAAAAGGTCCTGACTAAACTCCTTGCACTTTGCTTCTTAACCTTAATATATCCTGGAAATCACTCCAGATAAGTTCATATAAATCTTCATTCTGAATTTAGGAATTAAAGTAACCCCCCCCATCACCATTGCACATGAGCAGAAGGAGAGAACTTGAATAAACACAGGGAATCCCCTGCCAGACCTCTAATTAAATGGCAGTTCCTCCTCTGGTCACCTCATTCTCCATTGTCAGCCAGACCCTGTGAATCCTAAGGAAGCCTGGCCATGAATCCCACAACCCTATGGTGCTAGATGCAGCACAGGATGAGCCATTCAACCCAGGAGTCCTTAGAGCAGCTCCTCAGAACCAGAGAGGAGGCTGGCCCACAGGGTGAGCCTGGAGACCCAGCTGGTGGGATGGTCATGGCCACCCCAATCGGCAGGGGAAGGTTTTCCTGCAAGGGACGCCCAGTGGAGTGAAGCATGGGGATGGTGGAACAGCAGGGCTTGACTGCATCCCCAAGAAGTCCACCGGGAGGAAAGAATAAGACTTTATCCTGAGCAAGGAGATTTGCAGTGATTACCCTTCAGAGTCAAGATAAAGTCTGGAAGATAGGTACGCAAATTGCTCTGCAAACTCTAGAGGGAGAATTACAACAGATAAGTGGGCTTTCGGGTAGAGGGTGGCATTTGCAATGGAAATTTAGGAGTGGATCTAAATTAATAAAGGGGCTCAGAGTGTGGAAAGGGGCATTTGAGACTGATGTAGCAATAGGACACAGATCAAAGCCTTTGCTCAAGTAAACACGGGGAAAAGTTCATCTGATAAAAGCTATTACAGTATTCCCTATGACGCAGTAGTATAAGACAGCCATTAAAACCCATGTTCGTGAATAGTTTCAATAATAAGAGTGTTAACAGCAAAATAAGTTAAAAAAAAAAAAGGAAATACATATCTGGTGTGACATAACCGTGGAGCATAGCTGGAAGGAACTCCTTTCAAAATATCCTGTAGTAGAAACTCTGGTCATTTTCATCCCCTTATTCTACTTTTCAGCGTTCTCAGATGAGCACATCTTACTCTTTATAATAATAAAAAAGAAATCTATGTACTTTGTTTCTTTAAAATAGATGACAGGGCTGCAACCAGGTTAGGACAATCAGAAGGTGGACACCTAAGTGGCTCAGGGGTTGAGCATCTGCCTTCGGCTCAGGGCATGATCCCGGGGTCCCAGGATCGAGTCCCACATCCGGCTCCCTGCATGGAGCCTGCTTCTCCCTCTGCCTGTGTCTCTGCCTCTCTCTCTCTCTCTCTCTCTCTCTGTGTGTGTGTGTGTGTGTGTGTCTTGTGAATAAATAAATTAAATTTAAAAAAAAAAAAAAGGATAATCAAAAGGTGTTGGGTCTTAGGGGAGCGCCCTGGTGAGAGCCGGGCCAGGGTGGCACTGCTGTCCTCAGGGGAATTGCACTGCCAGGAGGGATGGTTACGAGCAATTAGAGTCCAAGTGGGAAATCAGGAGGGGGAGACTGCGTTCCCAGTTAGGGCAGCAACAGCCCTGAGGACGGCATCGCCTTCTCCAACCAGTGTAACCCCGGGCCCCGCCAGAGTTACCAATACCCAGCAGGCCTCCATTAATGCTGAATGAATGAATGATGTCCTGGCAGTGATAGTCTCACGGCTACAATTCTCTTCCGTCCCTCCTCTGCCTGTGGAACCTGGGCTCTTCTGAATTCAGCATATGTGGTTGGACTAAACATCTCCTTGTCTTTACAGTTTGTAATGGAATAGGGATTGGCGAGTTCAAAGACACACTTTCCATAAATGCTACAAACATTAAACACTTCAAAAACTGCACGTCGATCAGCGGAGACCTTCATATCTTGCCGGTCGCATTTAGAGGGTAAGTAACAGAGTAAGTGTCTGGTCTAGAGAAACACAAAATCCGCTTTGTTCACTGGTAGACACTGGCGATCAATAATCGTTTTGTTTCTTGTTTCAGTGACTCCTTCACGCGTACCCTACCTCTAGATCCGAAGGAGCTGGATATCCTGAAAACCGTCAAGGAAATAACAGGTGTGGGCTGCTAACATGTCACATGAACATGAATGGGAACTGGGTGTTTTAGAGAGCGAGCCGGGAGATGCATTTTCTTCTCTCTCAGCGTCATAAAAACATTCCGTCTGAACTTCTATCGTTAGTGACTAATGAGTTCTTTGATAGTTCTCACAAACGCGATTTCCCCTGCGTGTAAAGAGTGAGCACTTTAATCAAAGACTTGAGTCATTCCTGGTTTTGTGTGAACATGTTTAACCCTCGTCTCCTCGGCCCGGCCAGCCATTCTGATGGCCCAGTGACTCTCGGGTGGCGGCAGAAGGGCGAACACTGAGGGAACGACACAGGCTCACAGGCACAGACTGGACCCCACGTCCCTGCCCGTTTTGTCCATGATTCCCATCAGAGCTTCCCTGCCTTTCCCCCCAGAAAGGAAGCAATTAGACCTACATAACAAGACTGTTTTGAGGATTGGAATTAAGTAAGGAGAGCATGAGAATGTCCTTCTGTGTGATGACAGGTCAAGACACGGCAGCCGCCATCAGGAGCAGAAGCGGGTTTGACTCATCAGATACGGAGCCCAACCCGGCTGTCAGGACCGTGGCACCGTGGGATGGCCTGTGGGGGGAGTTGGTGGTGGCAGAGATGCAGCCAGGGCTGGGAATTCTAGAGGAGAGGCAGGTGCCCGCCTTGGCTTGTATCTACACATGGATGGACACTCGGTGAAGACGACAAAGAAGAATCAAATCAAGAGTTCCCCTTTCCTGCTCCTATTGCAGTCTCCTGAGAATCCTAAAATGCCACATGAAAAAAACATGTCTACATGGCGTGTGTCTGAGCCTTCCTTTTTTGCCTTTATAGGGTTTTTGCTGATTCAGGCCTGGCCCGAAAACAGGACGGACCTCCATGCTTTCGAGAACCTAGAAATCATACGTGGAAGAACAAAGCAACAGTAAGTTGAGCCTGCCCAAAGCCTGGTGTATTGTTTATTTATTTACTGATTTATGTTTAAAATAAGACCCAATGAAGAGTTTGAAATTAGACTTGTGCAGCTGTTGCAAAGATCCTACAGAGAGGGCTGCCCTGTGTCCCCCAGCCAGCTCCCACCATTGTTAACATCTCACCTATGCATGGTAGGAGGACAAAGTGAAGAAATGAGCATCGGTGCCGTGCTGTTGGCTCCAGCACCAGACATCAGTCAGATTTCACCAGGGTTCTGGGAATGTCGTGTTTCAGTGTCCAGCCCAGGACCCCACATGGCACGTAGTTGGGATGTCTCCGTAGTCCCTTCCAATCTATCACAGTTCCTGTGTCTTCCCTTATCACTTGTAGCCTTGACAGTCTTAAAAAGTACTGGTCACACATTCTGTAGAACGGCTGGTCATGTGTTTTTGGCAAGAAGAGCACCGAGGGGATGTGTCCTTATAAGCACATTGTATCAGAGGGAGCTCTTGAGAGGTTTTTTAACATTAAAAGTCTGGTTCAGGATTTCCACTTTTCCAACTCCCAGCAGCAAAATACTCACATAGAAACGTCTTTAATGGGATCCCTGGGTGGCGCAGCGGTTTAGCGCCTGCCTTTGGCTCAGGGCGTGATCCTGGAGACCCGGGATCGAATCCCACGTCAGGCTCCCGGTGCATGGAGCCTGCTTCTCCCTCTGCCTATATCTCTGCCTCTCTCTCTCTCTGTGTGACTATCATAAATAAATAAAAAAAAATTAAAAAAAAAGAAACGTCTTTAATGTATTAAGAGTAATAATCAGTTTTGTAGTCTGAGAATCTCTTTGTCAGATCTGCCTTGGAAACAGTCTAATGTTGAGAACTATCACCCATTAATTGACCCCTAAGACAACTACGTAATATCATCCAATATTAAAGAAAATCTGAATAGAGTACACATAAAATACGTAATCGCTTTTTAAAAACCATCTTGGCTGTGCATGTCTTGTACTAGCCATGGAGCTAACATTGCTTCCCTGGAAAGACCCTTTGTTCTAAGTTCTCAACAATATTTCTTTTGCCCAAGATTTATACAGAGATAAGAGATTTAGATCAATTTTCTTGGGTGACTGGCATGTACCACTTGGCTTAGTTCTAGGAATTTGAACAAATTTAGAATTACTTTGTTTTCTTTTCACATTTAATGAGAAATGGAGGGGCAGGGTGGCCACTGGCTCCAGGTATGGCTCACCAGAGGAAGGTGACCCCAGCTTTGTCCCAGTGTCTAGGCTTCCGTAAGCACGTGATGAGAGAATTTCTAAAACAGTGGTGCTGCTGGTCTCCTACACAGGGCTCCTCGCTTTCCTCAGGAGCAGGCCGTGGGAAGGGAGGAGGAGGAAAAGGTTGAGGGAGAAACAGAGACAAGGAGAGAGGAGGAATCTCCAAGTTAAACTTCTGTCATCCTGTGTATGATGTCTCCTCATTCGGTGCTGTCTCAACTGCTCCATTCCCTGTCTTGGTGTCCAGTGAGCTTCCCAAAAATGCAAGTCTCTTTCCTGTGGTTTCCATCATTTGCAGACCACAACCAAGCTCAAAGTGTCCAAGTAACCGGACACTTCTTCCAGGCTTCTGCTCCAGCAGTAGCTCCTGGTTCTCAGCACCCATCAGCTGCTTTCTTGCCTTCCTGCTCCTGTTCAGGACTTCCCTCCCTTCAGGGTGAATGACTTTTGCCCAGTCACTTGATGGAAACCTGTTGATAGCCTTATAGAGTTCTAGCGCAGAGTTGGGTGGTTCAAATGATTGTTCAGTAAATGGATAGATCGATGAATCAGTGCATCAACAGATGGAGGGATAGATGGATGAATGGATAGATGAATCCATGGATGAATGGATAGATGAGTGGGAAGGTAGATGGATGGGTGGGTGGGTGCATGGATGCATAGATGAGTGGACAAATGAGTGGATAGATAGTTGGGTGGATAGGTGAATGGATAGATGAATGGATATGGGTGATGGATGGATGAATAGAGAGGTGGAAGGATCGATGGATGCATATGTGCATAGATACATAGACAAGTATATGGATAGATGAGTGAGTAGATGGATAGTTAGATGAATGGGTGGATGCATGGGTGGAAAAGATGAACCTATAGTTTTTGAAGGGTATTTGGATATTTGAGAGGCTAGAACATGCTCTCTATTCCCAGGCACAAAAAAAATGCAGTGCATATAATAATGATATTAACATTTATTCAGCCCCCACGATGCCACTGGGATTAAAGATACTAAATGAACAAGAGACTGGCTTTTCCCTGGAGGAGCTTTAAAAAAAAACTCTTGTAATTTTCAAAAGTTGTGATACAGACTTCCTGCAATATGACGTACAGTGGAGGCAGTTTATAGTAAACAGAAGGTGGTCCAGAAAATAAAAATAAAGTTTTTAGTGATATAATTTTTTCATAATTTTTAACAACATTATGTTTCTTCTCCCCGCGACAGTGGTCAGTTTTCTCTGGCGGTCGTCGGCCTGAACATAACGTCCTTGGGATTACGCTCTCTCAAGGAGATAAGTGATGGAGATGTGATCATCTCTGGAAACCGAAAATTGTGCTATGCAAATACAATAAACTGGAAGAAACTCTTTGGGACTTCAAGTCAGAAAACCAAGATTATAAACAACAAAGATGAAAAAGCCTGCAGTAAGTAATCACTCTGGTTGATTGTGGAGATGGTTCACATGGATCATTTCTTTTGATTTAGAATATTCCCAAACAGGGCACCCGGGTGGCTCAGTGGTTGAGCGTCCGCCTTTGGCTCGGGTCATGATCCCGGGGTCCTGGGATCGAGTCCTGCATCAGGTTCCCTGCAGGGAGCCTGCTTCCCCTCTGCCTGTGTCTCTGCCCCTCTCCCTGTCTCTGTGTCTCTCATGAATAAATAAATAAAATCCTTTAAAAAAATTTATTTTAAAAAGGAATATCCCCAAACATTTAAGTTACATTTTTCATTCCTGAAGAAGCAGATTAAAAGAAATCTGTATATTCCTAAATGTGAAGTTATCGTGTAAAGTGCATTGGAATTGTTTCCAAATCACTCACATGTCATAGGATGGATTTGCCTTGAGGTTTAAGCTATCAATTATTTATTTATAATTTACAGAACTGAGTTTTGTATACATTATCTTACCGTTTAGCCTCTGATGAACGTAGCTAGCAACACATACACACGCGCGCGTGCACGCACACACGTGCACACGCGTGCAGGTAGAATGAACATTTGCACTGACATTTTCTAGTCTGAGTTTAGAGCCCCAGGCAGCTCTTGAAGCCAGGCGTGCCCGTTACCTGGTCACTGGGAGAAGCAGATCTGAGGCCACACCCTGACTCTAGCCCTTCCCAGCTTCCAGACTGTGGTCAGTTTACTCAGCATGTGTAGGCCTCGGCTTCCTCAGTGATTCTCACTGCTCGGGAGAGAATTAAATGGAATTTTACATGTAAAACTCTTGGCATGGTGCCCAGCACACGGCAAGGCCCACAAACCTTCCCTGTGTTTCCATCAGCTGTGACATTCATCCGCAAAATGCTACCCAGCTCCAGGCCAGGAACCCTTGACTCCCCGCAGGGAAGAGGAACTTGTAGTTGGCCCCTGGAAGCCCGCTGTGTGTCGTTGCTTCTTCCAGGCCCCCCCACCCCACCCCGCCATGTCCAAGGTCACAGAGAGCCCAGCATCCCACTTAGAGGAGCGGTCTCAAGTGGCCCCTCCAGTCACTGTGCCATAGCTGACCCCTTGTGTCTCGGTCTGTCTTCTCAGAGGCCATAGGCCACGTCTGCCATCCATTGTGCTCCTCAGAAGGCTGCTGGGGCCCAGGGCCGAGAGACTGCGTGTCCTGCCGAAACGTCAGCCGTGGCAAGGAATGTGTGGAAAAGTGCAACGTTCTGGAGGGGTAAGGTTATCTCTTAACCCCTTTTGTTTTCATTAAAAAATAATAATAAGGCGATTGTTTTTATAGGTTTACAGTTAGTTCACTCTGAAACTATTCCTTTTGTTTTTTTTTTCCCTTTTTCTTTGGTCTTTATTTCTTGACAACTGTTAATCACGAAAGGAAATGAACAAACTTTTTTCATTACTTAATCCTATCCACTAATTTAGAGAGTCTCTATTTTTGGAAATACCTGATAATTTTCTCAGCCACACAGAGTTCCCAAGACAAATGGAAAAGTCAGAAATGGTTTGTGTGGCCAAGACCACAGCCGTTTAGACTTTTCTTTGGAATTCACCCTTCCTGGCATGTCAAAATATCGTAGTATAAATTACATTTCCCGGTTAATTTGTTTCATGTTCAACAAATACCAAACTGTGCAAATAACTTTAAATGTAACCATGGACAAAGACATAAGCAAGCATATAACATAACCATTGTTAAATTTATTTGCCATCAATAGAAAGTCCAGTCTGTCGCTTCTGTGGGAATCTTGATACTGATGTCAAGCTTTTTGCATGACCTCAAATAATGACTAAGAATACATTAATAGGAAAGTAAAATTGAAGGATAGAGAGAGGCAGAGGTGCTTTTTTTTTTGTTTTTTAATGTAAAGAAAAGGGGAAATTTTGTGAGAGAGAAGAGCCATCGGAATTACAGGTGGCTACAGGAACCATCCTTCTTGTTTGCTCTCAGCGCTTGGGCCACAGTACGGATCCAGAGATATTTAGGAACAGGATGAGAAGCCCAAGTCCAGCTCTGTAGGAATCCTTTAGCAGGTGCGCTCGGTCACCTAACAGAGTCCTTTGTATAATTGACAGTGTTGCTTCAACAAGTAAGAAATATTGGTGCAATCGTTACTGCTGCAAACAGACATGAATCTCATGGTTTCCACATCTTCTTAGAGAGAGAGGAAATCAGAATAACCCTGAGGGTGGTGCCTTTCTGTTCTGTTAGAGAACCCTGGTGTCTTGCTGCACTTGCTCAGTTTGCACGGCTGGCTTCTCCAGCAGGCGTGTTACCCGGAGAAGGAGGGAAGAAAAAAAAAAAAAAAACAATTGGGCATATTTGGTTTAAATGACATTAGGGAGGATTTATGGACCATGTTGTGGGTGTAAACACCCCTTATTCACTGGAGTGAAGACCTGTAGTTAATTACCAGGCAGAGGCAGATTTCAGTGTTAAAAGCTGTCACAACTATTTTGCCTTTTCAAACATCATCTTCTTGCTTAACATCCATCTAGACATCTTTGAGGAATAGAGAAACCATCACAAGCAAAAATGTTCACACCTTCGTTCCCTACGTACTGTTTTTCTTAATAACCATTGAGTAAGTTTTAATGTCTCTCCTTCCTTTTCCTGAGCATTAGTCCACAGTTAACCATTTCTTCCCAGCTTAATGCAGATATCCACGAATCTGAGATTGGGGGCAAGGGGCGAGGTCACCTCTGAAGGACTATTATTTTTTTCATTTTTTGGCTTGTGTGCCTAATAGACAGAAACTGTGCCTTGTAGAGAAATGCGGGCAAGATGTTTGATTATAAATGAAATTTGGCCATTTGTCCAGGATAGAAGATGACCAAGGATTCGGTTAATACAGTCAGTTTATCATATTACAGTATCGTCCTAGATTCCTGACTGTTGTATATTGACCTAAATTGTTTGTTTGTTTGTTTGTTTTTTTCTTTTTCGCATTTCTGAGAAAGGTGACTTGTGTCTGATTAACTCTGACGGTTGTAACCCCCCAGCGTTTTGAAGCAGGATCCCTAGAGATGGCACTGATCAGTTTCCTTTCTTCTCTCAGGGAGCCAAGGGAGTTTGTGGAGAATTCGGAGTGCATACAGTGCCATCCGGAATGCCTGCCCCAGGCCATGAACATAACCTGCACAGGACGGGTAAGGAGCGCAGTTGATGTTATTTCCTTGTACATCCTAGGGAGAGGCCTTCCCAGCAGCAGAACCACAACAATGAGCCAACAACACTCTGCAGCCACCAAGCCCTTGGGGGGGGGGGGGTGTGACCTCCAGGTCAGGAGACTGGTTGAGTTGACGTCATCACACAACCCACCTTGCAGGAGCCCTTACCCTTCCTGTCCAACACCCCCTACCAAGTTTAATAACATCTGCTCTTTCACCAGAAACAGGGAGGCCTGTGGTAGAGACTGGGTACACTGTCGGCCAGTTTTCATTATTTCTGACATCTGTCATCCCTCACACCACTCTCTGAATGTTGTTCATTCTCAATATTATTTATCAGGACTTCTGTTTGGATTTGAGCTTCAACAGCCATATCTGCATCTACTAATTGAAAAGGTTTTTCAGGAGTTCCCTCTGAACTGGGCGGAAGGCTGTGTTTTGAGGTAGAGGCTGCCAACAGGTGTGACAGGTTACCCAGGAAGCCATCGGTTCACAAGCTCACATGGCGTTCGGTTACATTTTTATCATTGAAAGAAAGCTGTAAAAAACAAAAAAAGAAAGAAAGAAAGCTGTTGGTGATGCTTAGTCATCTGATTGTTCTGGTTCTGAGAACACTCAGTCTTTGGACAAAGCGGAGACATCAGAGAACTTCACCAACAAGCACATCCTTCCTACCAGTTGTATTTTAGTCCCTTTATGAAAGGACGTGGGCACAGCCCGAGCAGTCCCGATACGCTCACTTCTGAGTTTTCCAGGGGCGCTCCAAGTTCCATAAACAGAATCAAACTCAGCCCGGTACACAGTTAGTTATGCAGCCACCGCTGCGCTTACACTTGCCACCCTCCTGTGCCTAGAGAAATACAGATGTGGGCTCCCTTAAATTCGCCTCTGCAAGTTTGGCCGCCCACAGAGTCTCCCTTTACGTTCAAATATCATATGCAGAAAAGTCCATCTGAGCAATGAAGAGATAAATATACTCATAGACTAATTAGATTGTTTTGACAAAGAACGATGCCCATGACCCCATTAAGGAAGCTGTGATGAAGTATTTCGTATGCTTATATGTTAAATGCCTTTTTTTAAAAAAGATTTTTTAAAGATTTTATTTATTTATTCATGAGAGACGCAGAGACACAGGCAGAGGGAGGAGCAGGCTCCCTGCGGGGAGCCCGATGGGGGACTCGATCCCGGGACTCCAGGATCGTGCCCAGCGCAGAAGGCAGACGCTCAACCGCTGAGCCCCCCAGGTGTCCCTGTTAAATGCCTTTAAAGTCAGGGAGACTTTATCGTTAGCTGTTAACAGCGGTCACATCAAGCAACAGCAGTCCCCGACAAGCTTGAAGAATTTCTCTTATTATTCGACTGTTTTCACAATAAGTATTTCAATTTTGAAAGCGAAAGAAGCATCCGTAAATGTCTTTCTCCGTCTTGGCGCAGGGGCCGGACAGCTGCATCAAGTGCGCCCACTACGTCGACGGCCCTCACTGCGTCAAGACCTGCCCGGCTGGCATCATGGGAGAAAACAACACCCTGGTCTGGAAGTTTTCGGATGGCAGCCGCGTGTGCCACCTGTGCCATCCAAACTGCACCTATGGGTGAGCAGAAGCTCTGCGTCTTGGAAAGATATTTATTTTAATTATATGTAACCGAAAAAGAATAAACCGAGTGGAGAAGAGAGAATAGTTTTTTCTGACAAAATTCAGTGATAGTATGAGATGGTGGCCTCTTACTTTCTACTCAGCCATCATTTCTGCACATCCCAAGGGCCTCCTAGCAAGGACCTCCTAACCCCAGTACTCCAGTCTCCTCTCCTCCGGCGCCTGTCCGGTCTCTGTCCTGTCAGTCACCTCTTCAGAGGTAAACTGGCCTTTCTTCCCTCCAAGCCGCTCATGTATCAGTAGCATCCTCGGCCCATAACTCCTGCAGTTGCCCTGCAGCACCTTCAGAGGCTGCACGAACCCTACACGTGGTCCCGAAAGTTACAGTTTTCATTTGCACTCACTTTGCATAGTGTTTGTTCCCTTTCGGGGACTGCCAGGCATTGTGGGGGAGAAAAAAGCTGGGGAGCAGAGGTATTTTGAGGAGGGTGTGAGTTTATCAGTGACCACTCGTCAGTGATGTCTTTTGTCTTTGAGTTTGGGTTTTCCTAGGAGATTCCGGAGTGTGAAATAGTGAGGTCCCTCACCTCCCCCGACCCTGTGCATCCCACAGCCTGAAAAAGCCTCTGCATGTGTGTGCACACGCTCGTATGCATGTGCGTATATGTGTGTGCCTATGCTTGTACGTGTGTTCCCGTGTACCTATGTGTATATGTGTGTGCACGTGTGTGCCGCCTGTGTGCACACGCCTGTGTGTTGGTGTGCACCCTTGTGTGTGCCTCCATGTGTGTGTGTACCTGTGTATGTGGTGTAGGAAGGAAGGCCCAAAGGCACTGGGGGGGGGGGTAGGAGCGGGACAACTTGGAAGTGGGGGAGGGAACTGACCTTCCCCTCGGAGAGAAGCGTACAGATCCCTGGACGGAGATAGGAAATGGGGAGCTTGGCAGATGCCCCGTCCTGTTCACAAATTTGAAACACAGTCCTCCATCCTTTCCCAGGCCATGAAATGGTAATCCGCGCCCCCCCCCCAACCTCCTTTTTTCAAGTTGACATATCGCTGACACACCATGTCATATTCGTTGTAAGTGTACAACATAGTGGTTCGACAATGCTCTACGTTACGCAGTGCTCAGCACAATAAGTGCAGTCCCCATGAAAAACTATTGCATTATTGATTGTATTTTGTATGCTGTGCGTCTTATCCCTGTGGCTTATTTATTTTACGACTGGAAGTTTGTACCTCTTAACCCCTTCACCCATTTTCTCCGACCCCCTCGTTCCCTTCCCTGTGGTGGCCGCGGGTTTGTTCTCTGTATTTATGAGTCTGTTTCTATTGTTTGTTTGTTCATTTGTTTTGTTTTGGGTTTTTTTCGGATTCCATGTATAGATGAAATCTTATGGCATTCGTCTTTCCGTCTATTTCAGCTAGCATAATACTCTGTAGGTCCATCCGTGGACAGCGGCATGAGGTGTCCTTTCTGTTTAATTAGAATATTTTGTTTTCCTCTTGATGTTTGTGTTGGCAAATGTTGCTGTTCTTCAAAGCCAATGTGTTCTGCCTTTTTTACATCATCCTGTAATCAAAATAAGAGATGGTGGCCTCCCCCACTAGAATGGGACCCCAGCTGCTCAGGAGTCACTTAAGACAAATGCTGTCTCTGCTGCATGTAAGACATTTGAGACGTGTGGTAAGGGATGAAGCCAACTCCTGCTCTGACTCTTGACTTTCTGGGTCTGAAAGCACCACTGCCCTTCCCCTGCCATTGAGACTTGGCTCGTTCATCTGTTCCCGACCCCGCCGGCTCCTCAATCAGTATGGCTCCAGTCCCGGCCCCTCCAGTCCCGCGCCCGTACGGACATTCTAAAGCCAGATGCGAGACAGCTATATCTCTATCACTAAGTGTACATGAAGACATTTCAGTAACAAGGGCCAGAAACTGTCTACTTTGCTCAGTGCTAGAACAAGCCCTGTCATAGAGTACGCACTCAGAAATACTTGCGGAGAGAATGAACGAATGAATAAAAGCAAAATAAATAATAATAAATAAATAAATAAATAAATAAATAAATAAATAACCGGTGCTGCAAAATTGACATTCATGGTGATTTTAATGATTTGAGCGTAATTGAAACATGTTGCCTTATGATCTAATAAAATCTCTGAGGGGCGCCCGGGTGGCTCAGTTGGTCAAACAACTGCCTTCGGCTCAGGTTATGATCCCAGGGTCCTGCAACCCAGCCCCACATTGGGCTCCCTGCTTCTCTTTCTCCCCCTGCCCCTCTCCCCACCCCCATCATGCTCTCTCTTTCAAATAAATAAATAAAATCTTAAAAAATAAAAACTCACTAAGACAAAATGCTGAAGTAGTAGAATGATTAAAATATGTGTTTCTGTCTCAATTCCTACAGCTGTGAGGGACCAGGTCTTGAAGGCTGTGCAAAAACGGGGTAAGTGTTATAGTTGTGTCCAATGGACCTTCTCAAAAATGACCCAACACCCTATGAGCAGAGATAATGGTTGCCCACATTTCTGATCACCCTCTATCTTGACCGGTTCTCCTGGGCCAGCAGAGCTTCCCTAGCAGAGACCGCCCTGCTGGTCCCGCCTACCTCTCCCCTGCCGACTTTGTTGGTGTGCTTCAGGGGAGGGGATGCAGGGTGTGAGCTGGTTCTCAGTGCCCAGTGCTTCTCTTTACGTGGAGCCTGCCTCTGACTTCTTTGGTTGCACAATTTTTGTGGATCCTTCTAGTAGCTTCTCTTCTTTCCTTCCTTGCTGACCCAGTTGGCACTATCTCACACCTTCACATTTGATGACAGAGCTCCAGCGTGGGGGGCTTTTCTCTCCTCACTTCCCTTTCTAAACAATGACTGCCTTTAGCATTTTAATTCTTATGAATTGCCCATGCTTGAAATGCTGCACTAAGGAAAAGCAGAGTTGGGAATTCCTGTTCAGACTCATCGGAAAGAGTGGCATTATCAATTAGCAATGTCTAGCAAGGCATCAGGATTAAACACAGGGCGCCTCTTAGCCATTCCTGACATAGGCAACACTGCGCAAACTTCCAGGCACCTCTTCCATTTCTGGTAATGTCTACACAATCCCCGCTTCGACAACCTGCCCTCCGTGTCAGCTGACTCTTCTGCCCCAGAATTAGCCTTGATCATAAATGCCACCTACTTTCAAGTGAAACATTAAAGACAAATAAGGCAGTTTTTCAGAGATGAAGATGTCCTTTCCATCCCTTCCTCTTTTCTGAGCCCACAGGGACATCAGCGGAATCTGTCCTATCTTCACGCTACAACCAGTACCTCGGTAACGAGGTTTTCCATCAAAGCCCCACCTTGAAACTAGTCAGTGACCATTCTTTGTTGTATTTACTCTTTTTATTTTTTCTTCTCTTGTATTCACTTACCCCTTTGTATTCCTTACCCCATGGAACACATGCTCTATAATAAATTATTCTTTTTATCTTTCATCTCAGTATAGTAAAAACTCATTAATGCAAACTGCATTCCTTGAGGAGATGGTATAATGCAGGAGACGACTTTTGCACTCACTAAGAAAGTGCTCTAAATATTGTTGTCATGGAGTACCTCTGACCCACTTACAAGAAATTCATAAGGATGTCGGGATGTTTATGTGCTAAAGATACTAATTGATCTTTGACACCCTTTCACATTTCTTCCCGAAAATATGAAGTTTCCCGGAAGCTCAAATGGAATAGATTCTTGAGAATAATAATTGTATAAGGATTCTAAATTCGGAATACATGAATTCAGATGGTTCTTTCCTCAGTGAACTCCAGAACCTGAGTTTTGACTTTTTTGCTGTCTCTGAAATCAAGCACAACCTTGGTGGGAAGAAGGAGCACAGTCGAGTGGCTTGATGTTACACAGTGACATCACTCACTTACGACAACGATGCTTTTTATGTTGAAATCCTATCACTTTGCAACCTCCCCCAAGCTTTTTCATAAAGCATTCCACATGGCTGTGGTCCCATCTTGAAAGCCAAGGACCCTTCGAAGAGGCTTAACATTCTGGAAAGGGTCCCTTCACCCAGGCAAGGCAGGAGACGATGCCTGCCTTATGCATGTGGCATTCTAGGCTTCAGATGAGTGGAGATACTCTGGGGATAAATGCAAATTCACATGAAAAGCATTACTGAAGTCTGAGTTACTTGTTGGATTATGTGGTTTCTTAATTAGTAGATTAAAATATAAGTGTCATCTGGGGTGTCCAGATGATACCTCAATTTAAAAGAAACGTAAAACAACTGGGAGGGAGGGCTTTAAGCTCAAGAAGGTGGAAACACTACCCTAGAAACTCTTTGCTTTCTTTCCTCCTTTTAGAATCCACATGGCATCTACTTTTGGAGATGATGTTAAATGATGTCAATGTGGGCAGCCCTGGTGGCGCAGTGGTTTGGCGCCGCCTGCAGCCCAGGGCGTGATCTGGAGACCCTGGATCGAGTCCCACGTCGGGCTCCCTGCGTGGATCCTGCTTCTCCCTCTGCCTGTGTCTCTGCCTCTCTCTCTCTCTGCAGCTCTATGAATAAATAAATAAAATCTTAAAAAAAAAAAAAAACATTAGAAGTTTGTTTTTTTAAAAAAAAATAAATGATGTCAATGTATCAAAACACGCAGGAAATACATAAAATGCCAAGGTAATGAAATCAGCAAACCTCACTTGCCCATGTCTCCTTCTCATTCCAGGCCCAAGATCCCATCCATTGCTACCGGGATTGTCGGCGGCCTCCTCTTGGTGGTGGTGGTGGCCCTTGGAGTGGGCCTCTTTTTGCGCCGGCGCCACATTGTCCGGAAGCGCACGCTTCGCAGACTGCTGCAAGAAAGAGAGGTGAGTGGGTGCCCAGGCCCAGCATGCTCCCCCCAGCCCCAGGCAGCAACGGGTTCTCCTGCCAAGTCTTGGCATGTGTGATTTTGTATTCTAAGTGTGTAATTGTATGACTATGTTTTATATCTTGTGATGGAAAAACCGGAAAGAATCTCTGGATGTCCAATTATAAGTAACCAGTTACATTTTGGTACATCTCTGGAATGAAATGCAGATGTTTCTACTCTGAGTCTCACAACATGGACGCAGAGCCATGTAGAGTCCTATTTAACACATAGCACGCAGGTATGTGTAATAGGAGTCCGCTGGTTCCTGGGAAGGCACATGGTTGAAATGTCACTTTGGAAAATCCCATTGTCTACACAGTGCTGTTCCCTTCTGAGCTGTGTTTGTGACTCACTTGAATGGGTCCTCAGCCAGCATCCTTATGTCCAGCATCCCTGGGAGGACAGACGCACAGCAGCTCCTAGCATGATGGCACTTGTGTGTAAGAAGGCCCAACAGGCTACCAAAATGATCATCCATGTAAAAGTTTCCCTCACCAGCATTCTCCCAGTCCAGCTTATGGACTGGAAATAGAAGTTGCATTTGGTGAAATGCAGCTGTGCTCTTCGAGGACACCTGTACCAGGGAGTCCCTGTTCTCACACGTCTTCTGTAAAGCTCTGAGAAGGTGTGCATTTCTCCTCTCGAGTGAGCACAGCGGGTCCTCTGTGCTGAAGCACAGCCACACGTGGCCGTTGTCCGGGCCTGGCTGCCACCCCCTCCACGTGGGCATGAGCATTGAGGCAGTTGCTCTTCCTTGTCTCTCACAGCTTGTCGAGCCTCTTACACCCAGCGGAGAAGCTCCCAACCAGGCTCTCTTGAGGATCTTAAAGGAGACGGAGTTCAAAAAGATCAAGGTGCTGGGCTCTGGAGCATTCGGCACAGTGTACAAGGTGAGGCCACCCTGGTTCCATGACTTCCAGGTGCGTGGGTTGGTGGGCCAATCCAGAGTCTGGGGCCATCTTCTGTTGCTCAGCCTCGTCTACTCTGTGTTGCTCACAGTTTGGGAAATTCCAGTGTTTTCCCCATATTGTCAAGAGGAAATCTTTGATAATCATGGTGACAGATACAAGGTCCTGTGGGACCTGTACACGGGCAACAAGGCTTTCATGGACCCCAGTGTTGACTGTGTACGGGGGTGGGTGGCAGAGACGGAGTCTGAAGGAGAGCCGCCTAACCCTGCGTGACAGCGTCCCAACAAACCAGGCCGGAACAGCTCCTCTTAATTTTTTTCTGGATCCTATTACACCAAGTCTGCTTTCAGTTGGGCCTAGACCCCGTATCTCAGAATTCTGGACAAAACGATCCATGCTGGTTTGATAACTGGCACAAGTTTTGGATATTTTTATCTAACGGCTCTGATTCATGGAACATGATCGCGAACGAGCTGCTGAGACGTCACGGCTCCTAGCACGGGCGGCCTTGGAGTGCACAGCTGTGCTCAAGGTCTCTCTGGCCCTTTGGGACAGTGTCCCTGGTAAAGTCCGTCTATCTCACGAGTCAGCCTATTGTGCATAGTACGGCAATCACCAGTTCGTGTCCCCTCTCCCTCCTTGTCACAGGGACTCTGGATCCCAGAAGGGGAGAAGGTTAAAATTCCCGTGGCCATCAAGGAATTGAGAGAAGCCACGTCTCCCAAAGCCAACAAGGAAATTCTTGATGTAAGTTTCTCCTTTGTCCTCTGCTTGTCCACAGGCCCGGATAGCAAAAGCCACATTTTGTGGTGTCTGGCAGCAGCACATTGCCCTGTTGTAGACTTTTTTTTTCATCACCACCTTCTAAATGTTCACGTTTCACGTCTTTTTTTCTTTCTAGCTGTAGTTGGTATAACTCCCTCTCGGGGCTTCTCCTATAGAGAAGAGTTGCAGCTTCCATTCTATTCTCTTATCTCTCCCAAAAGGATAGGAACTCACAATCCTTGGGTGTCCACCAAGGGCCAGCCTCAGGACTCGTTGCTTTGCACACACGATCTCGGTGAACTCTCCCGACCAGCCCGTGACACAGGTGTTGCACTCAGTGTGCTTTGAAGGCGTAAGGAAGCTTGCTCGCGTTCATGTGGTTGGCGTGGGATTCCAGCCCATCGTTATTTCTGCCTCTGAAACGCGTGTCCATTTTGTTCCACCAAGTTATCTTTGAAATGGCTTTTTCAAGGTGCCAAGGGATTACAATATGATGCTCCATCCACTCTAGAAACTGTTGCCCATCTTCTGTCCCCCACCCCCAAAGCCAAACAATTCATATGTTATTTCCAGTGTCTTTTGTTAGTTGATGGAGTCTTTGGAATGTTCCACCAGATTATTTTCATGTCTTTACTGTCGCTTCCACTGAGCTTTCTTCACCATCTCTGGATCCTCACTGGCCAATGAGAGGCCTGCATCCTCTTAAACAGAGGTTGGTAGAAGGAGGGGCCACCATGAAGGTGGCTTCAAGGGGCCCCGGTGGACGAATGGGGTCTCCTTGTTAACACCATTGGCCTCTCATGGCTGTGGGTCGATGCAAACTTTTGCTCTTGTCCCAAGGCAGAGCCAGAGAAAGAGGAGTAGAGAGACTTAGCAGGAAGTTAGGCAAACAGTCCAAATAAATAAAAAAAGGAAAGAAAGAAAGAGCTGCCTCAAAAATCTAGAGAATTTAGTTATCTTACCATCAGGAAGGACAAGAGTCAGATGTGGTATCCCCCACTCTTGCTTCTAACCCACAGGATATATGCCAAGCAAGGCAAACATGGGCCCTTTAAAAAATGTGTTTAGGCACAACGAGCTTCCCAGTGGCCTAACACTCTGGACTTGCCATTTCTCCCAGCGGACATCTCCCTCCGCTGTAATTGTGGGGAGATTGCTTCTAAATGAAATTCCAGCACCTTCTAAATGAAAGAGGATGTATTAATAAAGCACAGTAGCAAATCGTGCATATTGGAGATCTCCTTGCGAGCAAAACTATCTCATTTTAATGGCCTACAAACTAATGGAAGTCCTATTAGCATCACGTTGTCGACTCATCTCCACATAACCCCAAGAAATGCGTTTGTGAAGTCAGTCTCTGTACCTAGAACCCAGAGCTCCCTGGCCTTTTTTCTCTGTTTGCAGAATTTGCTTCCTTGACTCATTCTTCTCATTTGAGACTAGATTCTAGTCCGTGTCGCAGGACGGTGTTGGAATGTGAATTCAGCAATATTTATAATGCAGGGTGAGGCTGCGTTTGAAGACAGAGTTGTGCTTTGGGGGGGGGGTGTGTGGATTTTCACTGCAAAGGACCCTCTAGGACCCGTAGAGCTGGAGGCAGCAGAGGAGGGGTGGAAGACAGGAGTTAAAAAAGTGTGAGTCCTGCTTTGCCTCTTGCCCTACCTCTCTCTTGCCCTCTCCTCCCTCCATTTTTTTGGGGGAAATTTGGTTTGGTTTGGGTTTTGAGTTTTCCCCCCGTGTCCCTGAGATATGATTGGCATGCAGGGCCAGTGCACTCTTCGATGGGACAGCCAATGGGGCTGAGCGTGGACTCGCCCGTAGATGCTCCCACTCCCCCGACACTCCGGTCTCCTGCTGGGGTCAGGCCCTGAGACCCCCATGCCCACGCTGCAGCTTCTAGTTTAAGCTGCTGCCCGTGGCCTAGATTAACCGGTTACAGTTTCAGAAATGTCGGGGCACCTGCTCATCGTTCTTGGAGGTCACGCCCCTTTACCCCAATTCTCAAGCTCAAAGAGCTCACAGATGAGGGAGACAAGCGAGAAGGAAGGCATCCAAAATCATTTGGCCATCGGGACCAAGTCACAGGCCTTGGGACCGCATCGCAGGCCTTCAAGGTCACGGCCTCAGAGGGGCCCTGCCGTGTGACTCGGGTGGACCCCGGGGTCCATGGACCTGGGCCCCGCCTGGCCGGCCGAGGGTCCAGTTCAGGGCCGGCCCCGTGCAATACCAGGCGTTCTTGCCGCAGGTCACAGTGCACCTTGGAGATTCCAAGATAAACAGCTGAGAACAAAGCTCAGTTCAGCTTCTGCAGACACCAAACAGGACACACGACCAAACAGCAGCTCCATTGTGCTGGGGGGTGGGGCGGAAGTGATGCCCTGGTGCGGGGCTCTATCGGATTTTAAGAGGACGGGGATCTGGCCGGGCTCCAGGCTCTGTGTGGCCTGACACCCACGCCGGTGCTCTGTTCCCCGATCCCCGGGTCCAGGTCAGCTCCTCACGGCCCCACAGCAGCTGCGCTGCTCAAACTTGCTCTGCTCTGCAGATTTTTCTCCCCTCTAAGATGAATACAATATGTTTCCAAATCTTCACCAGATCTTGAGAAAATGGGAACGGCCGGAGGATTTCTCTGGTGTTATGGTTGTACGGTTTCCCAGACTCGGGGGAGAGACGTGATTTGTGCTTTTCTGGCAATTGCATGGCCTATTAATTTTTCCATAGACTTCCCAGTTTAAAACGAGGGCGGGCAGTGGAAAAAGAATGCAAACATTTATATATGTGCTGGGGGTGTAATGAGGTCTCGAGCTTTCTGGTAGCCCGTTAACCGGAGCACTCGGCGAGGCCTCGCGGGAGACCGCAGGGTACATACGGCAGGTGGGGGGGCGAGGGGGCCTGCAGAGGGGTCACCCTTGTGAGGAGACCCATACGTGGGCTCAGCTCTGACCCACAGTGTCTCCCGTTCGCCGTTCGCTTCGCTGGGCCTCAGTTTCCTTTTCGGATGAGTAATGGCCACAGAAGAAATGCACTTGCAGGGCTTTCCAGGTCGGACTTTTTATACGCAGCCCTTCTCAGAGATGAAGGGATGTTTGAGTGTCCGTTAAGTATCAAATGTCTACTCTGCCCTTTAATGTTGGGGGGATGCGATGTTTACAATCCAGAAGAAACGAAGTGCCAGCTCTGCCTTGCAAGGAGAGGGCCACTCAAGGCAGCATCCCAACAAACGGTCTGCAGCGCATGTTAGAAGCCATGGGGATTTTTCTTGTTATCAGTGGAAGGGCAAAGTCTGATTTGCTTTAGATTTCTGGTTTTGTATGATTCCAGGGGTTCAATTCTGACGGTTTTGAGTTAGTTATTTATGTGCCCGGATATGTGTCCGGCACCACTCGGGGGACAGAAGAGGAAATGACAGAGGCCCTCAGGCCCAGGGATTGACCCTGCCTGCGAGGCAGCAGGAACACGGAGGGGATATTGAGGCCACAAATAAGCAGCGTTTGCCAACAGAGTATAGCCCTAAAAAGCGCCGGGCAGATGCTGGAGCTGAGAGTGCAGTCCTCTCCTCAGAGCTAGGGAGGAGGCAGGACATTTCTCAAAATCACACAAGTATTTAAATGCATATTATGAGGAGTGCTCCAGAGCCCTGGGATCCCCTGGAGGCTTTACTCCAGCAGCTTGCCGGGCCCCACCTCCTCAGGGCTCACACGGTAGGCCTGGGTGGGGCCCAAGAATTTGCATCTCTAGCAAGTTCCCAGGCCAGGAAGAGCCTGCTCCCCCAAGGAAAAAACTGCAAGATGCCAGGAGAGTTTAAGACTGGGGAGTCCAGAAGGCCCCTCAGAGGAGGAGTCAGATGAGGAAAGAGGAGGTGGAGGGGCATTCCAGGCCAAGGCCCTGCCGTGGGCGAGGGCCCAGGGAGGAGGACCGAGGGGAGGGGAGGGTTTCCGGGGGACGGCTGACCTGGGCGGCCTGGGGTGGCCGGGGCGCTGAGGCCAGAGGAAGGCTTAAGGCACCAGACAAGGTGTGATCCGGTTTGGTGGGGGCATCAGTGTCTGTGGCCTGGGCCCACTCGGTCTCCTCTCTCACCTCCGGCTCCTCCAGTGCTCCCCCCACCCCCACCCCATCCTGGTCCCCAAGGCCACATCCCAGCCACAGCAGTGGTGGAAACATAAAAAGAGCCTCTGAGCTCTCTCTTGCAGGCCACACGGCCCCCCTTTCACATCTGAATCCAATGAAGGGCACCACCCTTTGCATTTGAAAAGGAGACAGAATTTAGGGGAAGAAAGTGGGGATTCCCTAATTCTCAGTCAGCTGGAAGAAGGGGGTCCCCCCCGCTGTGTGCACACCTGGAAATAAAACAGCTTCCCGGTGGAGAACGGAGAAGGATTAACATAAAGTTGGGGGGGGTGGCTGTGTCAAGAAGGGCTCGGGCCTCGGCAGCCAGCAGTCAGAGGAGGGGCGCGTTTCGCAGAGCAGAGTGGTTCCCCAGCTTGAGGCCCAGGCACGGGCATCACGGGCACCTGTCTTCGCAGGTGCCACAGGGCAGCCGGCAGAGCCTGGGATCGCTGTGACCTAAGGGCCGGTCCGGCTGGGTCCCCTTTGGAGCCTGGGGCAGGTAGCTGCGCCCCCAGGACCCAGGCGGGGCCACCGTCCCCGGCCAACGGGCCACCTGCCGGCTCGGGTGACCTCTCATGGCCCTACCTCTGCGTGTGTATCTCGGTTCTGTGGGAAAGTCGTGATCCAGGCTTAGGCCCCACACGGGAATTTCTGTCCTGACATTTTAAACTCGCAGCAGCTTTAGCCCTGGGGCGAGGGCTTCCTAACGGAGGCATCAGCAGAGCTCAAGCTCCGGGACCTCAGGCCCCATTTCCTTCCTTTCTTTCCTTTCTTTTCTTTTCTTTTCTTTCTTTTCTTTTCTTTTCTTTTCTTTCTTTCTTTCTTTCTTCTTTCTTTCTTTCAATTCTTTCTTTCTTTCTTTTTTAAGATTTTTTATTTATTTATTCAAGAAAGACACAGAGAGGCACAGGCCGAGGGAGAGGTGGGCTCCCTGCATGGAGCCCGATGGGGAGACTGATCCCAGGACCCCGGGGGCATGCCCTGGGCCTAAGACGGTGCTAAACCGCAGAGCCCTCTTTCTTTTTTTTTTAAAGACTTGATTTATTTATTCATGAGAGAGACCGAGAGAGAAGCAGGCTCCCTGTGGGGAGCCCGATGCAGGAGGGGGGAGGGGACTCGGGGACCCCAGGATCACGCCCTGAGCCCAAGGCAGACGCTCCACCGCCGCCGAGCCCGCAGGTGCCCCATCAGGTCCTGTTTTCATTCCGTGTTTTGCCGCAGGCAGATGCTCCCTGGGTGTCTCTGTGAAGGGAAATCCTTGCACCGCACTGGGGGGGGGGGGGCTGTCTTCCACCAAACGACTGGTCACTCCACAGCCTCCTATGTGTGTCACAGGCCCTGCAGAAATGTCTGTGCACCAGATGTTTCACGGGCGACCCCGTCCTCCACGAGGCACGGTTGGGGATCCAGAATCACTGTTGTGCTTTGCTGTTTTCAGCCTGGAGGGAGGTCCACCTGCCTGTCCCTTGAGCCACGGCAGGGGGGCGGGGGGGCCCTCTCTGAAGCTTTCCTCTCCCCTTTCTTCTTCGCACAGGAAGCCTATGTGATGGCCAGTGTGGACAATCCCCACGTGTGCCGCCTCCTGGGCATCTGCCTGACGTCCACGGTGCAGCTCATCACGCAGCTCATGCCCTTTGGCTGCCTCCTGGACTATGTCCGCGAGCACAAGGACAACATCGGCTCCCAGCACCTGCTCAACTGGTGTGTGCAGATTGCAAAGGTAAGTGGAGAGGCGCGCGGGCCCTGAAAGTAGGGCAGGTACTTCGCTTGCTGCTCCCCTGCCCCCTCCCCCGGGGTGACGCGGTCGTTCGCGGGCGCCCCAATGCAAGGCAGCAAGGGGGAGAAATAAAGACAGCCGGAAAGTGGACAGGGGGGGCTCCGTCCTGGGAGAGCTAGACTTGTGCGCGCGTGGGGCCCGTACACACAGCGTACGTTTTATTTTGGATCCAGTTGAATTGATTGCCTTCTGCATCAAATGGGGGCCTGTCCCCCTGCGTGCTGAGAATCTAATTGTTCGGCTACATCGAGGCAATATTTGCTTTATTAGGTGCTTATAGTGTGGCCTGGTGCTAGGGTCATTTCTCTGGGGTTCTCGTGGGTGAATTTTAGGGTAGTTGAGGGTAGAGGAGGAGCTGTGGCTTCCACCCCGTCAGGCCTGGATACCAAGGCGAGCAAGGGGGCTGAGACTGGGCGAGGAACATCCAGAGGACAGTGGGGCTGTGCCGACAGGGCAGGTGCTGGGTGCCCGCCCCCGACCTGGCCCCCCGCAATAACAGGCTCATTCCAGGGCGAGAGGCGGCTGACAATGCAGACAGTGGACAGGTGGCCCAGCAGCAGGCTGGGTGTTAGCTCCTCACGGGGTCCCCAGAGGACTTTTACTCTCGTGCCAAGCCTCTCCCTCGGGATGCCGGCACCGCAGCGATTGTTGGCAACCCAGATGGCTGAGTCCTGTGTTCCCCTCGGTTGGCGTGAGGCAGGTTAGTGGGCAGGCCCGTCTCAGCGTGGGCGTCCTTGCGGCCGGCCCCTCCGCAGCGAGCCGGCGTGGAGGGCCGTGGAGGGGCCACGGCGGCCGCAAGCCTGACCACTGGGCCCTGCCCGGGGCCTGACCGCTCCCCGCCCCCCCCCCCCGGCTGTGCTGGTGGCCCAGTCGATCCAGCGCCGCGTGCTGTCCCTTCTCAGCCGCAGCCTCGGGGGGCTGCCCCCCGCCAGTCCCCGGTGTTCTTGTCCTTCTCGAAGCCGTAACCCTGGTCACAGAACAGGGGCCTGAGTCACTCAGCAGCGCTAGATAGTGGCCCTGGAAGAGGGTGTGTGTGCGCCTCTGACGCCGTGATTTCCTGAAAATGCTCGTGATTTCTGCGTGTGCCTGGATCCGCGTCCCAAGGCTGCCACGGGTTGCCACAGCCTGGTGGCTCACGACCGCAGCAAGCTGCCCACCCCCCGTCCTGGAGGTCAGTGCACAGCCAAGCCGGCCGGGCTGTGCCCACCTCCCCCCCGCCCCCCCGCCCCGCCCCCCACGTCCTTGCCTTTTCCTTTCTGGTGGCTCCGGCCACCCCCAGGCTCGAGGTCCCCCCCCACCCCGTCTCTTCCTCGGTCTTCACACAGCCTCCTTCTCTATGTCTGAGTCTAAATCGCCTTTTCCTTTCTCTTAAAAGACACCGGTCACCCTGAAATCCAGGATGCTTTCATCCTACATCATTACCTGGTTGCACCTGTTGCCCCCTGAGGTTATCCTGGTTGACATGAAACTCGGCCCGGTCCAGTCCGGAATAGGGGCTGGTCTGGGGGAGGAGGTGGTTAGCCCCAGGCAGGTTTTACTGAATCTGGAATAATTCCTGAAGATCTGCTCACCCCCTGACTCCTGAGCCCAGAAATTCTTTCCCCCGTACAGACAATACCGCCTTGCTTTGGTTGCTCTCTTTTCTTTCTAGCACATACTGCTGCCTGGGAAGATCTGGCTTATTTCCGTGTTCGCTTGAGTTTGTGCGCAGCTGCCCCAACTGGACGGTGAGCCCCGTGACACTGGTGTCCTGGCCCGTCCCCACCCTGGGCAGGGCCTCCCGAGCTCTGCACACCTGCAGCCAGCTTCCCCGGCCGAGGTGGTCAGCATCTCTCCTCTGCTTATGTCGTGTCAGTCCACCGCTCCACGAAAGTGACGCTCCTCGCGATGGGGCATGTAGCCCCCGCGACTTTGGTCCAGCCCAGAAGCGTGCTGGCAGTTCCAGCAGACGTGAGAGCCACATCCCACTTCTGTCGCTCGGTAACCACCTCTGGCAGGTGGCTGAGTCTTTTTTGTGCCTCATTCTTTGGCCCTAAACGAGGTTCCTCCCGGGTACGAGGGTGACACCAGGTAGCCTCTGAGGAGCACCTGCCACTGGTGCCGCGCGCACACGGTGCTCACTGGATGTTCCCTTTCTCCATTGCTTTCCCCGCATTTTGGCTCAATTAGGTTGGACTCGTGACTAAAAATCTAAGCTGAAACATTGTCTTAATCTAGTTCCGCATCAGCTTTCATTTATTAGAGCGGCATCAGGGTCCGGGTCCCCTCTCCTTCTGAGCTTTTTCTCTTCTCCTTTGCGACCTTACGTCTCAATCCGCCCGACCACTGGTGCCTACAAAGATGGGAATTTATTTTAACCCTAAAAGTCAGCTTCTGCAGGCGAGGTGGGAAAAAACACACGGACCTCAATATGCCAGTGGCCACGGCAAAGAAGAACCCGTCTGTGCCTCGGAGTCGCAGAAGTTCCCGAGTTGAGGGTCCAGGCCTGAAAGTTTTCCAGGGCAGTTCTCTAGATGGTTTCACTCACAACTGCAACCTGTTATTGAAATCCACTCTAGTGTCTCTTGCACTTTATTTCTCTTTACTTCACACTGAAAGCCTTCCAGATCGCGTCTCTTAGCTCTCCGGGGTAGATTTGCTTTCTAAGTCAGAGGAGAAACCCTTGGCTGCTGTATTTGAATCGCTGGAGTGATGGGGGGCCCGTCCTTGGAGGGAAGGGAAAGTAGTGGTTTCCTCGACCGTGAAGACAGAAATCTGCTCCTGGGTGAGTGGCTTTTTATCCTAGTGTCGAACAATTTCCTTTGTAAAAGTTGGAAGTGAGACTACCCAGAAACACTTAGTGGCTGACCAGAAACTGAACTCCTGGCGTTTTCAAAGTGGGATTTATTGACCCATAAATGTCCTGCATTGATTCACAAAGGCCTGGGCTCTCCTGGGAAGTTTTCTAAATATTGATGGAATGCTGGCCACTGTTACGCAAGTTTCTCATCCTGGCTGAACGGCTAAGAGGAGAAATTCTATCACCTGGGCAAAAGGAAAAGAGAAGAGAAGTGAGTGGGCGAGGGAGGAAGTCAGGATGGAGTCAGGAAGGGCCTGGAAAAGCAGAAGAGAGCTCCGGGCCCTCCTCGCCTTACAAGGTGACAGTGGATTCTGTTCTCCCATCTCGGGAGTTTCTGGAGACATTACCTGCTCCCCAGACAGAAAGATCCTGGCTTCCTAAGCTCCTGGCTCGTGGGACCCTGGGTAGCTCCCACATGCTGGGATTTCATTGCTTCAGGAAGTGTATCCGCTTTTTCTGGGTACATGAGCCAGCTAGTAAGTCCCAAACTATATCAGATGGCACAGTAATGTCATAAAACGTTCTAATCAGAAAGGTCCTATCATCCGATCGGCCTGTCACTTGGAAACACTGCTATTGTGCCAGCGTCTTCCCCTGAGACCATCCGTGCACATTATTACGACGTCCTGCCATCGATAAAGGCTCTCGAGACTGTGATTAATCTGACGGTTTCCCAAACCTTTGGGACAAAAGAGCTTGCTTATCACCTAACCCAGATCAAGGTCTCACAGAATTGAATTCTCAGGTAGTTGACGGAAAATGAGGATCCCTGCGATCGAGCCCTGGAGAGGCTTGGAGACAGATGGCAGGAGACCGAGGCTCTCTCTGACTACAACTGTATGTGCACCAAACGGTGTTTAAGATGGTCCAGGAGATACAGTTTAATAAGGACAAACCTAAAAATTGTCAGTTCGAAGGATTTATTTAAGTGCACAGAATTACTTGGTTTGGCCACCTGTGTTCCTTCCTGAGTGCCCTGCCGTGAAGCCCATGTTGACAGACTATACTGCAGTTGTAACAGATGAGCAGGGGGGTAATGAATGAATGAAAATCATGCCAGACAAGGAACTAGAAAAGGAGGTGAGGCTCACGATGCAGCCCAACGGTGCCGATTCACCGCCGGCCTCTGCTTCCATCCTCAGAAAGCAGGACTCATCGGAGCTAATTCCACCACCAAGCACGATCAACACCTAGGCAACGAGACAGCTCGGTGACAAAGCCAAACGGCAGATCCATTACCAGGCTTTTCAGTTACTTGGATTATTTTTTTAAATCTATTCTTAAATGGCCCATAAAAGATTACAGTGGAATTGAATCAACCTGAATGGTCCCTGTGCCGTATGTCATCAAAAAGCCAGAAGTTACCGTGGTATTAAAATATCAAGAGTATCAACTTTTAGGTATTTCATTTAGTGAACTCTTGGGCATTCATTTGCCAGTGTTAAGAATTGGGTGAAATACGCATGTAAAGAAGATGAAATTTCTTATCTCCCCAACTTATAAGCCAGTGAGGGAAACAGATCCACACAGCCAGCAGCGCTGTGGGGAGTGAGTGGTCAGAGCAGGAGAGCTGGGTACCTGGAGGCCCAGGCTCCCCAGGCCTCTGGGAAGGGCACACGGGGACCAGCAGGGGTCAGTTGGGGTGGAGGGGGGCTTGGTCTGTCAGCCAGGTGCCAGGTGCTGGGAGCCACCGGGGGTGGAGGAGGTGGGCAGGCAAGCCAGCCTATGTCTTAGCCTAGAGAGTTCTGTGCTGGAGATGTGAGGGAAAGGCCCTGCCCCATCCGTGAGAGGTGACCATCCGGGTGGCCAGGATGCAGAGTGGCTCGGTGCCTGAGAGATGCTGAGGGCTGCTCAGGGAGGGAGGGCTGGGGAGGACGAGCGGAGCCCCCAAGGGGTCCTGCAACCCCACACAAGGAGACAGCATCACCACGAAAGCAAAGGGTTCTTCTCGGGAATCTATTTGTGATCAGACTCTGGAGGGGGGGGGGTGGCTGGAGTCCAGGCAAGGTGGGCTAGCGACCTCATTCAAGCTCACAGCCAATGGATGGGGAAGGGGGGGCACCTGGCATTTAGAAGGAAACCCTGACAATCACCAGCCCCTGTGGAAGACGCTCGCCGGGCCCCATCCTGCGTGCTGCGTGGATTAACTTACTTAACCATATGGTTAGCCCGCTTTACATACCGGGAAACTGAGGCACGGGGGTGTTTAAGTAAACTTGCCAGGCTCTTGAGCTAGTAAGTAGCACAAATCAGGATTGGACCCCAGGCAGCCTGGCTCCCAAGTCCACACTCTTGGTGAGCCTGGCTGCCCCCTCACAGGAGGGTGTTGGTGCCGCACGAGCTGTCTGGGATCGGGAATTCTGATACTTTTGTGCCTCTTGCGAAGGCAGGAGCCCGGGGGGGGGGGGGGAGCCTACTATTGATTTAGCTCTGCCCAAACCATCTGCGGGCCCCCCACTCCCTGCTTGGTGCCACTGCTGTCTTCACGAAGTCAGGGCTCCCCCCCCCACTCCTCCCCATGGCGGTTTATGAAACAGAACAGAGAGGGATCCCATTGCAGCCTCTCACCCTGGCCTCCTCCCAAGAGTTGTAGGACGCTGCAGCCCTCCGGAAAACGGAGACTGTGAACGTCAGAGCCAGCCACCCCCAGGCCTTTCTTCTTCGTGGATGTTGTGCCAGAAAGATCTTTGGTATCTGTGTGAGGCACATCCCTGTGCTTCTCTCTTTTGCAACTTTGAGGTGCTCTTCAGATTCCCTTCGGACCTTTTAAAGTCCATCCGTCCTAGCTGTCCTGGAGTAAGTAACAGAAATAAATACGTTGATTTAAATTAAAGCCATGATCTTGCAGAGGAATCAGGAAATGAGCTTCCCAGGAGGCCCTGGTGCTGCTTCCTGTGGTGTCTCCGCCTAGAGGGGCTCTTATCAGGCTCTTATCTTTGCAAACTGGTTAAAATATAACTTTGCTGGGCACTGAGATGGCCTTTTAAACTGCCTCTGTGGTGTGGGACAGAGACTGATGAACAGGGTTTTATCTAAGCTCAAATGAGCCTAATCCTGCCGCCCCCAGATCCTCTCTGATTTAAACCCCTCTGGCTGATTAGCTGTGTGCTCCCCAGATGTAAAGGGCTCTTTCCCAAGCCGTCCCTGAAGACTGATATTCTCCAAAAACGTCACAGTGTATTAAAGTTGTCCTTTACAGACCCAAGGGGTGGAAGTGGGGCTCAGGTCAATTTATTAGGTTTACATAATGACATGGACTCAGTGGCACACAACCGAGGTGCTGGGCTGTGGGGTCTTTTGCTTATTTGGAGTTTCTATTGACACCTCAAGCAGCCTTTGGGCCAGCAGGCAAGTTGCGCTTGGAGGCCCCAGCAGGAAGCGAGGGCCCCCATGGTGGTCTTAAGGCCTCCGAGCACTTGGTCTGACCAGCCTCCGGCCTCGCGATGGCTCTCAAGGCTGATGCCAGGGCTCCAGCTCCAGAGGGGGCTTCTTAGAAGATGTGTTGGAAACGCCTGGCACATCATCATTGCTCAAAACAGTCACTTGCTACATCACTCCCTCATTCATTCATTCGTTCATTCATTTTTCAACACTTTGGTGAAAATGTATCCGGTGTGCAGGTTGTGGGGTGTTGAGATAAAAGAGGCCGAATGATACGTTTGAGATGGTAGTTAAACGAGGCTGGAAATTCCCTCTGAATTTCACCCTTTGTGAACTCAGAAAACACAAATTTGAAATAAAGCAGAAGGGATAGGGCAAGGTTGACTGGTTCCCACGTGTCCCGGACTTATCTGTCCCTATTACTCTGTGGATGTGCCTCCACAGTGCCTACTCCCGAGGACGTCCTTGGGAAATGGCTGAGGAAGCAGGGCCAGCGACACAGGGTGGAAGGAAGAAGAGAAAAACGGGTGCGAGAGAGAGAGAGAGAGAGAGAGAGAGAGAGAGAGAGAAATTGAAGGAAAGAGAGCAAATGAGCTAATACAGCCTGGAATGCAGATGTTGCGCCTAACCAGGCAAGAGGCCAAGCACAATTAACCCGTTTTGAATGGGTAAGAGTGCACCGTGTTTAATAAATAGAGGCCTTACCCTTTTATAGGAGACAGGAGGATTGAGCAGGGCCCCAGGAAGCAAAGGAGAAGCGGAAGCTCATGAATGGAGCCCCCTGTGAAGGGCCATGGGGGGAGGTGACGGGGAGTAGGAAGTCGGTCCTCTGTTTGGAGGAGTTCTCTCGGCTTCTGCTCCTTCCCTCTCAGCTCCCCACATGCCATTCCTAAATAATAATCCCTAATTTGGAAGTGCTGTGCCAGAGGGAACCTGCTAGTTTCCTCTTGAGTAGACGTGAGCCCTGCTAACCATATTTTGCAGCATCTGAGGGATCTTAGAAGGGGAACGCTGAAATCGAACAGCATCTTAAACATTCAGGAACTTTCTGGATAATCCAGGGGAGAAGAGAGACGTGGGAATCAATCATCTGAGTCCAAGGAAAGAAAAAGAAAGACCTCCAACATAGCCCCCACAGGCTAATTCTCGGTGGCATCTTCCTGAGATCCTAGTTTCCTCCGATGGGTAGTTTTGCTCCAGAAAGAAAGAGAGCTTCTGATTTCACCTCGCTACGAATTTTCACCTAATAGCTCCGCGAAAGGAAGCAGAGAATTTACCAGGAAATTTGGGACTCCGTCCTCACCCACAGGTTCTCCCTGCAGTTCCCTAACGTGGCGATCCCTCCAGAGCTACAGAAAAGCTGGGGAGTAAAGCAGCGTGGGTGAAGCCCACGTGTTTGCATCTCTGTGCCTGTCTTTACTGGAGAGCGCCTGAGGGTCCGCCGTAAAGGACGTTGGAAGCGTGGTCCACGCCTCTGGCTGGAGAGAGAGGGACATTGGTGAGTTAGTGCCAGAGAATGTGGTACAGACGTAAGACGTCTGCAGAACTGAACGGCTTCTCCGGCCTGCCAGCCTGGCCCTGCACGGAGGTGGAGCCGCCAAGCTCATGTCAACAGGTCGGAGCTTGGTAGGGTCCCAGGGAGCCTGGCTGAGCTGGGCAGGCGTGGAGCAAGCAGGAGTAGAGGCCAGAAAGGCCCTGCCAGCAGGAAGCGCTCATGACGGTCACCAAGAAAGCTGTGGGCAAGGACCCGAGTCGAGGGGAGGATACTTCTGGGGGTGCACACATCAGGCACTGCCCTGGGTGCTTCTCGGGTATTGTCTCTCTCTCTCTCGCTCTCTCTCTCTCTCTCTCTCTCTCTCTCTCTCAGCAGTGGTTCTGATTGCAACCGAGTCGGGGAGGCGACTGAAGAGGGGGTAGGAAGTGCCACCTTATAAAAGGAAATTCAGTATCCATGTGATTTCAAATTTTAAAAAGGGGGGGGAATCCCTGGGTGGCTCAGTGGTTTAGCATCTGCCTTCAGCTCAGGGCATGATCCTGGAGACCCAGGATCGAGTCCCACGTCGGGCTCCCTGCACAGAGCCTGCTTCTCCCTCTGCCTGTGTCTCTGCTTCTCTGTGTGTGTGTGTCTCATGAATGAATAAATAAAATCTTAAAAAAAAAAAACCTTCTCCGTTGGTAGCAGCTCAGGTCGGTGGCCCAGAGGAGCATGAGGGCAGTGTGGCCTCCCAGCGCTGAGAAGCCCGGGAGCGGCCTTGCCTTCCCTGCTCTGCAGGTCAGCCAAGTGCAAGGAGGTGACACGGGGCAGGGGCGCGGCGGCCACGGTCCACACCAGCTTCCAGCCAGCTCTCAGCCCATCAGCAGACGTCTTGCTCTGTCCTCGCCCTCGAATACTTGGTTCATCTGGGTTTAAACCTTGAGCAACTGGTTGGAGAAAAGTTAACAAATCAGCAGCGCATTGTCTCTTCATGGATGTGTTGGTCCATCTATTCAGGGGATAGTTAGTGGTGATCCCAAGGGGCGAGTTGCGGGGTCCCTGACGGGGACAGCTAGGACCCGGTGTGAACAGGACATGGGCCCCCCGAGCGGGGGCCGCTCCGGGCGGCCCAGGCAGCGCTGCCTGGCCCCGGTGGTCGCGGCGGCCCCTCACTGCGCGGCCCCGTGTTGCAGGGCATGAACTACCTGGAAGACCGGCGCTTGGTGCACCGCGACCTGGCGGCCAGGAACGTCCTGGTGAAGACCCCGCAGCACGTCAAGATCACAGATTTCGGGCTGGCCAAACTGCTGGGTGCCGAGGAGAAAGAGTACCACGCGGAAGGAGGCAAAGTAAGAAGCCGACCTGTGGGGCGGCGACATAGGGGACGTTCTCAGAACAGCCTGGGTGAGGTCACGGCAGCCGCCGCCGACCCCTGGGTCTGTCCAGGGCCGACTTCAGAGGAGCTGCTCTGAAAGCAGGATTTGCTGGGAGAGTGAGGATAGAAGTTTCTATCGTGTCCAGAGTCCAGAGCCAATAAACATGAGCTGAGCTCCATGGTCGGGTGACCGTGAGCCAAGGTTAGGTGTCAGCCTCCCCCCCAGGACCCAGCAGCCTTCAGAAGAGCAGCTGGAAGTGTCACGGCTAATTTGGCAGCACAGGGCTTTTGAGGACGTCTCAGAAAGACTGACAGCTCCCTGTGCTGTTCCTGGAGCTCCCGAGAGTCTCTGGCTCCTGTAGGATTGGGCCCCTCTTCCCAGATGGGGTCCTCCGGGGGCCGCTCTTCCAGCACTGAGGGGTGCAGGTCCCCCCTTAGGCCCTCCGGTTGCTCTGAATCACCTCTTAAGTTTCACTGTGACCTGTATGGCTCCAGGCAGCTGGCTCTGCAACACCCGTAAGCGTGGGGCGGCTAGGACCACAGGGCGCCCCCAGCCCCCAGCAGGTGCACCCAGTTCACCAGAACGGCCCACGCCCCAGAGGCCCTCAGCTGAGACCTTCATGAAGCCACCCCTGAGACCCAACAGAATAGCCCTGTTTCCTCTCAGATTTAAAACTGGCCCCTCTTGCTGGGAGGGAGCACTAGTGCTGGGGTATCAGGGCGGGGTGGCCTGGCCTCCCCACGTTTGTCACTTGTCATGTGTTGCAACGTGATTTAATTTCTTGCAGCGGAGGGAAGCTAATAGGTGTCTTACTACTTTCTCTCTCATCATTCCAAGGTGCCTATCAAGTGGATGGCTTTAGAATCGATTTTACACCGAATTTATACCCACCAAAGCGATGTGTGGAGCTACGGTGAGTCAAAGTCTTGATGCTAATGAATGTGTACTGAGGAGAAGCCGCCTTGCGGTGTTTGTTGACTTGCGTTACATGCTCTGTCAGCCGCGTGCTTTCTTCCGAGGCAATGACTCATAACAGCGTGGTAGCCGCTGTCTAGGATGCGAAGAAAACACGACCAAGGAAATTGAGTGCAGCTCGCATCCTGCATGTCACCGGGGGGATCAGTGAGCTTGTCACGAGGGGGTAAGGGAGGGCAAGAGAGCTCGGACTTAGGAAATGTCCGTACCTGCGACATCAAACCAAACCTGACCTCTTGCCTTGGATTTGACGTGAACCAAAGGGAGGTGACAAATGAGGTCTCATGGGGAAGAGTTTCCAGGTAGAGACATGGGGTCTTGTGATGGACTAACTCAGCGGCTCTCGTTTGACCCAGTGCATGGGGGTCTTTGTGTGTCAGAGAGGATGGCTTGACGAGAGTGCGCTGTGAGGAGGTGTCTGTGGGAGAAAAGAATAAGCCAGGGAAAGAGTTCTTGCTTGCAGCTCTAGTGAGAGCATCTCGTCAGGACGGGTTCTGCTTCCCCCTCCACATCCCACCTGGCCCTGCACAGGCCTGCGCCCCTCCTCTCAGACACGCCTTTGCCGTCCTTGCCACGCTGGCTTTGCACAAAGGATGCCCTGAGCCTACAGAGGCCTCAGCATTTGGGGCCCCTGGGTGGCTCGGCGGTTGAGCGTCTGCCTTCAGCTCAGGGCGTGATCCCGGGGTTCCGGGATCGAGTCCCGCATCGGGCTCCCCTCAAGGAGCCTGCCTGTGTCTTGTCTCTCTCTCACTCTCTGTGTCTCTCATGAACAAGTAAATAAAACCTTAAAAACAAAAAAAAAAAAAAAAAAAGAAAGAAAATTCACCATTTAAGAACGTCTCATCAGCACATTTTCACTGACGGCCACGTGAGGTCCTTGCACCTGTTCACAGTGGGCCCTCCTGAGCCCAGCAATCTGCTGGAAGGCTACCAAGTAGCTCATCCAAGACACTTGATCTGTGAATTGTCAGTCTGTTCCCACTACTAAAGCAACCAGGCTAACGGGGAGGGTCCACCCCCACCTCCATAGAAATGGGTATTTGGGGCGAGCGATATTGAAACAACGTTCCACGAGGAATTTGGTTATTATCACAAAAACAGCATCCACTTAGTATTTTTTTTTTATAACATCCCTAAGTTCCTAAGACTCTCAGTGTGTGTTGATTGCAGGGATCTTTGTCCTTCTGCTAGACTGCAAGCCCCACAGAGACAGAGATCTTTGTGAGTTAACAAGCCACCTGCAATTAATGAACGAGATAAGGAACTAAAGCTAGTCTCGTGCCTTGTTAGTTCAGTCATTTTTAAGATAGTTCTACTCCCCAAGAGGGATAAAATGACACGCTTCCTATCCCATCCAGAGGCATCAACGTCGTCACCTCCCTCCCTCGGTGATGATGCCACCAAAGGACCTCCTGGCGGGTCTTCTCTCTTCCTGTTCTGCACACATTCATCTATTCTCCAGAAAACAGGCAAAAAAATATTTTTTAAACTATAGCAGACTTTTAATTCTCTGCTTAACAGCCCCCTTTGGTTTTCCAACCACGGTGGGTAAGATCACAACCGGGCTGGCCCCTCCTGCCTTTCCAGGATCCCATGGCTGCGTTTCCCTCCTGGGCTGCGTGCTGCGGCCGGCGGGGGCCAGCTCACAGGCAGTCCACGGTTGGTCCACTTGTTGCATAAAGGAAAACACTCTTAAACTCTGTGCCTTAATACCTGTGAATGATTACGGGCATTATCAGAAAGCCGGCCTCGCTGCCGTGGTCCGAGGTGTTTCATTTCAGTGGAAACGGGGTTGCCAGTGATTATAATCTGCCATCCTTGGCAGGACGCTGGAATTATTGAAACCACAGACCTCAAGTTTCAGTTTAAAAAATAAATCCAATCGGGGCACCTGGGTGGCGCAGTCAGTTATAGCGTCCTACTCTTGATGTCAGCTCAGGTCATGATCTCGAGTCCCTCGTCAGGCTCCACGCTCAGCACAGTGTCTGCTGAGAGAGTCTCTCTCTCCCTCTGCCCCTCGCCCTGCTCGCTTGTGCACGTGCACGCTCTCGCTCTCTCTCTCTCTCTCAAATAAATAAATAGATGAATAAGTAAATAAATATCTTTAAAGCAAATCCTATTACTCCACTCTCTAGTCTCCAGTCAAGACAAAATATTTTATTTTTTTATTTTTTTAAGACAAATATTTTAATAAATTAGGAAGCTATGCGTTCCACTTAGGAGTTGAAAAGAAAGAGAACTCATCCACATTCCGGGCCCACCCAAAAGCCACAACCAGCTATGCGTACGACTTTCTCACCATTTGTTCCAAAACCTGAAAAGCTTTCCTTCCCACAGGAATTCTTTGCTCATGCTTAAACATAACATTTAAGCCTCGTTACATGAGAATTAATTGACTTCATGGATCTGGAAATGAGATTTTATTATTCTCTTTTTTTTTTTTTATCAAGTCCATATTGGCACTGTGGTGAGGAAGGAAGAGGAATCTATTTTCTTGCCCCTGGACCATTCTTTCCTTCATTTTTCAATCTTGCATGTTCTAGGGGCACCCAGGTGGCTCAGCAGTTGGGCGTCTGCCTTCGGCTCAGAGCGTGATCCCAGGGTCCCAGGATCGAATCCTGCAGGGAGCCTGCTTCTCCCTCTGCCTGTGTCTCTGCCTCTCTCCCCTCTCTGTGTTGCTCATGAATAAATAAATAAATAAAATCTTTTTTATTTTTTTTCTAAGATTTATTTATTTATTTATGATAGACATAGAGAGAGAAAGAGGCAGAGACACAGGAGGAGGGAGAAGCAGGCTTCACGCCGGGAGCCCAACACGGGACTCGATCCCGGGACTCCAGGATCGTGCCCTGGGCCAAAGGCAGGTGCTAAACCGCTGAGCCACCCAGGGATCCCAAATAAAGTCTTTTTTAAAGAAAATCTTGCATGCTCTATATTCAGGTCACTCAGTTCTGGGATGGCCTCTGGGTAATCCATGCAGACCTGAGGTAATATGTATCTAGAGGCCAACTCTCCAGAAAATGGATCAGCAGACCAGCTGGAGATCAGGGAACCTGCCAGGATCCTGTGTGTGACCCCCCCCAGCTCAGTCCCACCGGAGTCATCTTAGCGTCACCCCAGTGTACCCTCGCTGTCCAGGTTTCTAGAGCAGAGATTTTCGTCAAGAGAGGCACAGAGATGCAAGGATCCTTGGTCTGGAAAAACACCCAATTCTAGGACTACTGCTTTGATTTCTTTTTCTTTTTTTTTTTATCATAACGATTGATTTTTGAAATAAAAGGGGTGGGGTTTCTAGGTTTACTAAAAGGAACGTAGGGTTTTTCGGTTTCTAATTTTTATTATTATTTAAAAATGTGCAGCGTGGAACCTTGGGGGCGGCCTCCATCTTCCGTAGATACAAGTCGCTTAGGGCAGGTGTCCGAATGGGCCACGTCATTACAATGGTTGTGTTGTCATGGTGCCGTCGCTAAAGTCGTTCTGCCTGCAGGCCACTTATGTTTGCCTGGCACTGCCTGAACGGCGCAGCCCCATCGTCTTGTTTGATCTGCACAACGATCCCATAAGACAAGATGATTATCCCACTTTACAGGAAGGTACCGTGAGGCTTCCAGCATCAAGCACATTGCCCAAAGCCGCCGAAACAAAGGTTCCTAAAGATTAGAGACATTTACAAGGTGGTGTGGTTTTTTATCGATTCATAAAACAGACTGCTTCACCCTCTCAGGCGTCACCGTGTGGGAGCTGATGACCTTCGGGTCCAAGCCTTACGACGGTATCCCCGCAAGTGAGATCTCCACCATCCTGGAGAAGGGAGAGCGCCTCCCGCAGCCGCCCATATGCACCATCGATGTCTACATGATCATGGTCAAGTGTGAGTGATGCTGTGGCCGTCTCCTCTGGCCTGGCCTGTCGTGGGCACCTGGAGTGCCTTGTTGTGCCCTGAGAGGTTGCTGCTGCCCTTAGCAAAAGATCGAGACCTTTGATCCCCTAAAGAGACGTTGTCAGAGTCTTTACAGCAGGCCCTGAAGTCCAGAAACGTCTGTAAATATCCTCTCCCGACATTCCTCAGGAAGCGCTTGCTTGACCCATTGAGCCCCGTGACCTGGCATGTGCCCATGTTTGCCAGCAAATAAATAACATCAAATTCCTCCATAAGCCATGACACCAAAATATTCTGTTCTCTGGGTTGCTCAACAAGAAAGGCGCTGTACGTTTTGAAGCCTGTAACCAGAGAGACTGAATGTTTTTAAATGCCTAACAGTGAGTAAGCGCAGGAGGCCGATTGAATCAACAATTTCTGCCCCGACCTCAGCCTTTCAAGTAGTAGATCTACGTGGGGGCCTTTCTCAGGGTAGCAAGTAAGCATTTTAACTTAAGTCAGAGCGCGGAGCCTGCTTGGTGCTATCCGTCCCCAGAGGCACACATTCACAGGCTCAGGAGACGACGTTCCACGTGTGACGAGCACGGACACGACAGGGTGGCGTGGGGCCTAGACGGGGCCAAGTTCATGTAAATACTAATAATGCCTTTCTGAACTTGAGGCCCCAGGGCTAACCTCCTTTAACTTCCTTGCTTTGGGCTGAGGAAGCTGGGATCCAGAGAGGTTACGTGATCCGTCTAAGGTCACATAGCAGTCTGTCCTAAAATAGCTTGACCTCCTGCTGATAACAAATAAATGTGAGCCCTCGAGAGAGACAAGGATTTCCACTGTTCCTCCGGCTTGCTTAATCCAGACTTAGATCGTTGTGTGATCAAACGTGCTGGTGAATAACAAGTGTCCGAAGGAAGGCACTGGAACACTTGGGTGCGTGGCTACTGAGGATGTAAGGCGGTGAAAGCATCGCAGTGTGGAGTTCCCAAACCCCGAGGGTCTTAAAGAAAGTCCCCAACTTTCCCTAAATTGAATCAGGCTTGCAGCTTGCAAGACCGCTAAGCGCGTATCGATGAAAGTGAATGTCCAGTGAGGATTTGGCCGGGGAGCCCACACACCGGGGTCCCACGGTCTTAGCGATTTGCAAATAGTGAGGCATCCATGGCTGTCCCATCACGTAGGGTGGTGATGCCAGAGCCCCGGCCCCAGGAAGAGCGGGCGTAGAGAACGAGAGGCGGTTCCCGTCATTCTGATGCAAGTATTTTGTGTCATCATGGTCTTTAAACTGTGATCAGCGCCAGGGTGGCGAGATGTCTAGATGTCTAGCACACGGGTTCGGTTTCTGCATCACGTACTTTCCCCAAAGGCTCTTGCCATAAATGCTTCCTTGAAGCAATGTCATCTTTAGCGTGTCTTTCGGGGTCTGATCGCACCGTGTCCCTCATTCCCTCCACAGGCTGGATGATAGATGCAGACAGTCGCCCAAAATTCCGTGAGTTGATCATCGAATTCTCCAAAATGGCCCGAGACCCGCAGCGCTACCTTGTCATCCAGGTACGGGATGAGTCCGAGCTCCCCCTGGGACAAGTCCCTCTGACGTGCATCACATGTCGCCGTGCTCCGCAGTGTGTGGGGTCCCCTTCCCTGTCTCCCAGGGCCCGTCCTTAAACCCTTGACATGTTAGAGCGAGCCTTGGTGAAGGCCGCACGCCCTGTAAACGGAGTGGAGTTCATTTGTGGGCCCCCCCCCCAAACCCATTGGCCATTCCTGCCTGAACTCTAGCGTCCAGACACACTCAGGTCCGTGTGGCCTCTTCCATCGCGGCTAGCCCGAGCCTCGCCTCCGTCTGAGGGAGAAGCAGGGCTTCGGTGTCAGCAAACCTGGCGTCAAGGCCCTGAGTCTCCACTTACCACTTGAGGCCAACGAAACCAAACCCACAGGGCTGTGTTAATTAAGTCAGTGAAATAATGTTTGCAAAGTACATCACATGGCACCTAAAGATTCTGCTTAGCGACTCCAGTGCACGTGTTGGGGGGCGGCTCCCACACACCTCCAAGCAAGCAGTTCTGACACCTGCTGGGGTCTCTCCCCTCATCCCCATGTGCTCACTGACCCGGAAGCTGTCTGAACCCAGTCCTTTTGGGGATTTATGGAGTCTTCATTACATAGGCCTTATTGATTAGATCAGTGGCCAGTGGTGATTGATTGATTCAACCTCGCCCATTCCAGGACATCACAGGGTGTGATGGACTTGAATGTTTCAACCCCCTAATCTCTGGGTTGGTTACCCTGGCAACCATGGGTTAGTTAGTTAGTTACCAATTTACTGTGGGTTGGTTGGTTACGAACTTAGGGCTGGTCCTAAAGCCGCTCATGAGCGGAACCAAGACGCCTTTGCTGCCCCCATCACTTAGGAGCCTCCAAGGTTTCAGAGCTCTGTGCCAGGAATAGGGACAAATTTCTTATTATAAACCAGAATATCGCAGCAGCTAACAACCCTGTACCCACTCAGTAAATGCCGCTCCTTCGTCCCTTCCTTCTTCCTCTTCAGCTGTCTCTGTTTCCTTTAGGGGCTTTTAAACATCCAAGAATTTTTAATGTTTTGCCGTCACATTGGGGAGGGAAGGAAGCAGCTGTACCTCAGGGAACCAGGGTGATTTTATTATAACCAAATTGCAAGACAAACAGGCAGTTTCCGCAGAAGTGGAATAGCCAAGAAGTGGAACAGCATCTCTCTGGGCCTTACCAATTGTCTCAAAATCTCTGCACCAGGGAGATGAGAGGATGCATTTGCCAAGCCCTACAGACTCCAATTTTTACCGCGCCCTGATGGACGAGGAGGACATGGAGGATGTTGTGGATGCTGACGAGTACCTCATCCCCCAGCAGGGCTTCTTCCACAGCCCCTCCACTTCCCGGACCCCCCTCCTAAGTTCTCTGGTATGAAACGTCGCTTCTTCTCAAGCTGGGTCTGCGCATTTTCGGGGATGGTTTGGAGGAAATGATGCCCACCTAGTGGAACTTAGCATAGAGACAGAGAAGTAAATGTTAACCCAATGGTCAGGCCAGAGTCAGAAAGAATCAGTCAAGTGTATTAGCCATTTGATGGCCTTGCTCGCCACAACTGGATCATAATAATCCTTTTAGGGCTACTAAGGACCAGAATTAAATCAGAACTACACCTAGTTGTTTTCTGAAGCTAATGGGTCAAGACAAAATGAAGCACTTGAATTAGCTCCACTCTGTGAGACCCCACCGCCCGCATTCGGTGGGCACGGGTGAGACTATGCAAGCGTACGGTCAACGACGTCCGTTCTTTTTTCAGAGCGCCACCAGCAACAGTTCCACCGTGGCTTGCATCGACCGAAATGGGGTATGTACGAACAGCTACGAAGCCAGAATTAGGAACAGCTCCGGATCAGGGCTCTGTTAGATACAGAAAATGCCTCTCTTACCCCAGCTAGCCTTGATGTGCCTTCCGTTCTTGCCTGTGTGGTTTCCCTGACCCCTACCCCCAAGGCCAGCAGTTAGCATCACTAGCCGCAGTGCTGTTCAAAATGCGATTGGTGGATCTTGGCTGCAGCAGCATCACCGGGCAGTTTGTTAGAAATGCAAACCGCCGAGCCGCCGACCCAGACCTACTAAAGGAGGAATGCTGGGGGCAGAGCCCAGCCATCCGTGTTGAGCGAGCCTTCCAGGTGATACCGATGCTTGGTATGAAGCCTTAAGCTAGACCCATGCTTAGCAATAGAGAAGCCACTGGCCACATGTGTCTATTTTTTTTTAAGATTTTATTTATTTATTCATGAGAGACACAGAAGGAGAGAGAGGCAGAGACAGGCAGAGGGAGAAGCAGGCTCCATGCAGGGAGCCCGATGTGAGACTCGATCCCGGGTCTCCAGGATCAGGCCCTGGGCCGAAGGTGGCACCAAACCCCTGAGCCACCCAGGGTTGCCCTGCATGTGTCTATTTAAATTGCTGACCGTGGGGAAGAGCACAGGTTATAGAACATTCCTGTCATCGCAGAAAGCTCTGCTGCACGGCACTGACCAGTTCTTGCCGCTTGCCCTGTGGTCTGTGGGCCAGAAGCATGGGCCTCCCCTGGGGGCTTGCTGGAAACGCAGTGTCCCAGGCCCTGTCTCAGACCCTACTGAATCAGTATCTGCGGTTTAACAACATCTCAGGTGATTTTTAAACTGAAGCCTGAGCAGCACCGACTAGAGTAACCTTGCCTTATTGCTCCCCCTCAGACCTGTCCCCTCAAAGAAGACAGCTTCTTGCAGCGGTACAGCTCAGACCCCACTGGCACCTTGACGGAGGACAACATAGATGACACTTTCCTCCCAGCACCCGGTGAGTGGCTCACCCTGGAGAGGGTCACACTCCTCAGCCTCCCCGTCCAGCCGGTGCCCAGGCCGCTGGCTTCCTTCAAGCTAATCCAGGAGTGGAGACGGTGGCAAGTTTGCAGACACAATATAGGGAGTAAGAGGCGGAGAAATACAAAACCACGGAGCATGCGTGCGGCTCTTTGTGTTGAGTTCAAGTCACGTCCAGCCGGGAGGCGTGTGATTTTAGAACCAGTTTGCAGATTTTCTAGAATTGGAAGCAAACATCAAAGATGTGTGTGTGGGCGAGCGAGTATGCGTGGGTGTGACTGTGTGTGCGTCAGTGAGTTTATGAGCGTGCGCGTGTGTATGTGAGACAGATTCGATCCCAGCTCCGTTCTTGGCCTCTGAACCATGTGTTTTCCTAATCTCAGCGTTATAAGCCCCAGACGTCCATACCTGTGTGCACACGTACATCTCAAGGCAGGCTCTCCTTCTGAGAACTTTAAATTGGCAAGAGATAAATGTGCCCATTGCTTTGAGAAATAGAGAAAAGAACGCAATGTATCTTGCGGCAACAGCAAGGTAGTCACCTTCCCAGGCGTCCCTGCCCTCAGCTGCCTCCTGGAAGAGCATTGACAGGGTCCCGATCATACAGTGGAATCCTGCTTGGGCTGATGCTTCGCTGGTTGCTTCACCTGTGATTTCTTTTCAATTTCAGAATACATAAACCAGTCTGTTCCCAAAAGGCCTGCGGGTTCTGTCCAGAATCCCGTCTATCACAATCAGCCTCTAAATCCAGCTCCTGCCAGAGACCCTCACTACCAAAATCCCCACAGCAACGCAGTGGACAACCCTGAGTATCTCAACACCCACCCCACCTGCGTCAACAGTGTCCTCGACGGGCCCAGCCTCTGGACCCAGGAGGCCAACCACCAAATCAGCCTGGACAACCCTGACTACCAGCAGGACTTCTTTCCCAAGGAAGCCAAGTCCAATGGCATTTTTAAGGGCCCTGCAGCTGAAAATGCAGACTACCTGAGGGTAGCGCCACCAAGCAGTGAGTTTATTGGAGCGTGACCACGGAGGATAGCCTTGGCCATAAGAGTCTCAGATGTTTCAGCCCCCTGGGACCCAGTCGTGGCAGCTGCTCCAGTGCTGATAACCTGCCCACATTAACTCTTGGACCTGTTGACTGGTTTGGCCCTATTTGCTCCAATGGACTCATCTTTCACCCAGGATGTGCCCGCTACGTGGATGTACTTTGGGAAGAGTTACTGGGACATTCCTTTGTCTTCAAACTGTGAGGCCTCCACAAAAAGGAATCCAGCAAGAATATTGTCTATTTGGGCAGAAGTTCACCTTCCGATGAGGTATATTTGATTAAAAAAAAAAAACTGTAAAAGGAATTTTATTGCTTGGGGACCCTTAAGGCAATTTTAATTGTCATCGTTGATTTTATTTCTCATGGGCTTTTCCAATGGGGAAGAAGCTTGCTCATAGCACTTGCTGCACTGAGTTGATCCAGGCTCAACTGTGACCAAGAAGCAAGGGTCAGTCTTCCAGCTAACCTTTGATTCCACTGACTCTGCTTCAAGACTCTCCCACTGCAAGACAATTAAAAAAAAAAAAAAAAAAAAAAAAAAAAAAAACAACTCTAGGAGTACTCAGAGTCCTAAGTAGGACGGATTGATACTGTAGCAAATCATAGCAGGTACAAGAGGATAAGCCACTTTGAACCCTTCCTGATTGGAGAAGAAATGCAGGCGTAGACTTCTTCTTCAGACTTCTTTTTATATAAATTTCTTCATGGTACTTACTCTCTATCGGTCGACCAGTGTTTTCTAGTTTTAAGTATCGGACCTAATTTTCCATTCCAGCATGCTTTCCCCGTCAGTGTAGACGAGACGGTACATCAAACCGTAACCTGGACCAGCTCCTGTTTGGTCGGCGTTCAGACCTATAGCCTTTAACCAAGATGGAACAGTACTGCAAAAGGTCGCACCAGCCATGGCTCCCAGATTTGAGTCTCGCAGGAAATACGTCAAGTCCTTCGGGGGTTGGGGAGTGGGCCCATATCGGCCCAGTGCAGAAGCGATGCTCCTCCTAGAGCCCACTCAGTCTCCCACCCGCCCCCACCCGCCCCCACGTGGCCAAATTAGGCCACTTATGGGAAATAATTTTTATTTTACTTTAGAAGTTTTTTACTCCAAGGGTACTTTGTTTTCCCCCCTTTCTGGTAAGCTGCCCCCAAAGCCCCTCTTCGCCCTTTGTGGATGAAAGGATCCAGGCTCTTGGGGCCCACCCTACAGGAACTTACAGCCCTCACCCCGGGGGCACATGTTACAGGTGGAATGAAAGTGGTAAATATGAAATCGGAGTTTGACAGTGATGATGATGATGCCTTAACAACATCAACAGGGAGTTTTTTTCCCTGCCATTGGAAGATCTGGCTCATTTAGGACACCACGTGCGTCCTGGCAACGTGTGATGGGTTCACGACAGTCCTTTGTACCCACAGGTCTTCAACACTCTTTGTCAGTATCCAGTTTTTCAAGGAAAAAAATGTTTCAGACAGTATTTTCGGCCTCCGGATGTCTTCAGCCATACGCACGTATGAGATTTTCCTTTGGCCGGTCAAGTATTTCTTGACTCTCAGATCGGGGCCCTACTGTTTTGTTACCACAATACGAATTTTGTCCCCCTGGAAGTATAAACTCTATTTGATTTAATTCCACTTTGTCTTCAGAGACTCGTAAGCACCCATACCAGCCCAGCGTAAGCACGGAAGGTATAAAAACAAGGAACACCTAATCCCCGAGTCCAAGAAATTCACAATTTAGCAAAGGAAGTTGACTTGACTCATAAATACAAACCGTAAAACAATACAACAGATGCTAGGTGAGGCAGGTCGGCCAGGCACATGGCAGGAAAGAGTGGATCCCGCCTGGTGGATCTGGAAGGCTCATGGGGGGAGGGGGGGGCGGCGTTGGGCCAAGCAGGAAAGCTTGACCAAGCAAGCACCTGCCAGAGGGACCCCTAGTAAAGTGGGAGGAAGCCTGCATTAGTTCATCTTAACGTACTGTCCCGTGCAGCCCAGGACCATCTCGCCCCACGGCCCTACATGAGGTCCCTCCCTGGGAATTGGAAAATGATCAGTGAGAAGATGAAACATTCCTAAGTATCTAAACTTTTGTGCCATTGTCAGTAAGCCACGTTGGTTGTTGCTTCGCCTCAGCACACAGGCCTTTTAGGGAGACGTCTATTCGGCCCAGGGAAACAGAAGGATGCGTATTTTGTTGCCACTTATGCGTCAAGAAGCAAGTGAACCGATGAGGGAGAGCAACCATATGTCAGTCCAACTGTAGCAGTTAAATCCTAGTATTTTTGTAATTTGCAATATTTTACTATAACATAATAAAACAGCAAAAACTATTCGAGCTCTTTCTCCTTTGTATTTCAGTTTTCCTGCACAAAATCTAGTTGCTAGATCCTCTTAATCGTAAGACTGTGTTTTCCCAAAAGGTCCCCACTGTGGCTGTCCGGGGAGGGACAGGGGGGCTCGTAGAGGCCTCAGAGCCTGAGGCAGGGACCCCCGCCATCCCTGTGGGCAGACGCCCAGAGGGCCCCTCACCCCCACCCAGAGCACCAGAGTTTCTATTTCGTGGCCCTGGTTGGCCAGAGTTCAAAGCTTATATCCCTTCTCTTCCATTCGTCCTTGTTGACACCAGGTCCTAAGACCCCACAGAGAGCCTGTTCCCTCCTAGTTCCCGGACACGTCCCCCACGGCCCCACCTCTGGCCTGGCCCTTGGCAACACTTCAGGGGAAAGTAGGCGTCGGAAGCTGAAGCTTGCAGCAGGCCAGGGCCCTCACACAGGCCTCACAGAAGCTCCGGTCCTGGCACTCCTCCTCTATGAGAAGCGCTCTTGTCACCCCATGAAGGGAAAAAGTTGCATCTTCCAAATTCTAGATTTGCTGAGTCCCCGTTGTGACTGATTTTATACCCAGGAGCCCTGAGGCGGGGGCATCACGTCGCGTTCCAGTTGATGACAGGTCTTGGATGTCGGTTGGAAGGTCTTAACTGGGGACTTCAGCTCTCCCCCCCACCCAAACTGTAGACATAAGTGAACCGTGACCTGCACAAGCAGAAAGAGCACCAGTTCTCAAGCTTGGCTGCCCCTGGGGCTCTCCTGAGGTCCAGCCTAAAAGATTTTTTTTTTTTTTAAGATCTTACTTGTTTAGTCATGAGAGACACAGACAAAGGCAGAGACACAGGCAGAGGGAGAAACAGGCTCCATGCGGGGATCCCAATGCGGGACTCGATCCTGGGGACATGCCCTGAGCCCAAGGTATACGGTCAACCGCTGAGCCCCCCAGGGGCCCACCAACATGAAGGATTCTGATTTAATTTGTCCCTCGGCTGGTGGCATCCTGCTCACCTGTTGCACCCCCCAGGCCTCGGGTTACAGGAGCAGAGGTGAAGCTGTCGGGCCACAGCGACTGGCAGTTCTCGTCCCCCTGCCAGGCAGAGTCACCAGGTGTGCTCAGAAGGAAGGGGCAGGGGCCCCGTGGGCCAGTATTATCAGACTCTTGGGGGCTCCCCATGTGATCCTATTGGGCAAGCAGCGTTGAAACCCTCCTGCCGGGATCCCTGGGTGGCGCGGCAGTTTGGCGCCTGCCTTTGGCCTAGGGCACGATCCTGGAGACCCGGGATCGAATCCCACGTCGGGTTCCTGGTGCATGGAGCCTGCTTCTCCCTCTGCCTGTGTCTCTGCCTCTCTTTCTCTCTCTGTGTGACTATCATAAATAAATAATTTAAAATAAAAAAAATTAAAAAAAAAAAAAGAAACCCTCCTGCCTAAGGTGACCTGCAGGTGCCTGCAACAGGCCCCCCAGTCGGGGGCAGAGTAGAGAAGCCTGGCTCAGGAGAGGGCCCGGAGGTGGCGGACAGGGCAATGCGCAGTCCTTAAAATTCTTAAAATTCCCGAGACTTGGCTACTAGTAACCATTCCCAAGCCTCTAATTCTCTGTCACCAGCAGCTGATCCTGAAAGTGCCAGATTCCCACACCGGAGCCTTGATAAAGCCCTGCAACGGTTTGCATTTTCTAAGAAGTTAGAAAAAAATGGGTCGCATCCACAGTGAATGAGGTGCTCGCTGGAAGTGACAGCTGGCGAAATTGCCCTTAACGTCTACTTTGCATTTCTTTCTTTTGCTAAGTGCACGTTTTTATTACAACATAATGATCTGTTTATATCTCCTTGCCTAGAGCTGTAAAACCTTACTGAAAAGAAATCCCTGCTTCCAGCACCAGCCGCACCTGCCACCCCAGGGGCAAACTTTTTATGCTACGAAGAAGCACACGTTCAGATAGGATTTTTAAATGTCAATCTATTTTTGTAACTTTTTTTTTTTTTTGAGGGATATTACCCTCTCGGGTAGCGCTGAACTTTGTAAAGGGTGTTTTTTTTTAGAAAAACTCATTTTTTCTACTGAAGTTTAGAAAGGCAAATAGAATCAAAAGGCGAAACTGAAGTCTTTGTTTAAAGGGACTTAGTTGAAGCAAGAGAAGTCTGTCTTGTAAAAAGACACGACCTCACTGCAGGGCTAAGGTAGGTTGTTGTCCTAATACAGAAGAGAGCCACCCTTTTTTATATTTGTAAAATGAGAAAAGGTAAAAAGCACACATGGCTTAGTCTTGCTCTGAAGCAGGTTTTGTTAAGTTTGCAGCAACGTTGCAGGAAAAGAAGGACTTCACCTTAAACGCAGATGCATCCGCATGCGACCCTGGACATGATTCCCAGGATGATCCTGTCAGTGTGGAGGGGGAAAAAGCAATAATAGAGCACTTTGCTGGCTTATATACTAATCTGTCTTTGATACACATTATTTTTATATTTACAGTTCCTATGCGTTTACCAATAGACTAGAAATACCTGCAGACCCTAATGATGGTCAGCGTGTTTTAAGAACTTGGTAACTCAGTACGTTAATAAAGTCCAGGTTTCTACGTGTGACGTGCCCCCACCCCACCCCATCCCAGAAAAGGTGTCCTCAGCCCTGGCTGCAGAGTGCAACCCCCTGGGCGTGGGGGGCGTTGAAACTAGTGAGGCCCAGCTGCACCTCAGACTGATTATACACCTCTTTCTGGGTGAACTCCAGGCATTTGTACTTCTGAAAGCTCCCTAAGGTCATTCTGATGTCCAGCCACGGCTGAGAACCCCCAGCCTCGGGGGCCTGGGCTTGCAGGCAAATTCTGCAGGCGCAGGCACCAGCAGATCTCGCTCAGTACCCGTGCCTAGGGGACAGGAACATGCCCGGATGGAGGGTCCCTGACAGGCTGCCCAAGCACTGGAGGGGGAAGGTCTAACCGACTGATGGGAAGCAATACAGAACAGGTACCTTTTTTTTTTTTTTCCATTTCTTCTATTAAAAGGGGACTGGCAGTAAAATAGAGACAGCGAGCATTCTTGCTGCTTGTGCAACCGACTCGGTGCCCCGCCCGTAGTAACCGGGTGACCTTCATTTCCTGGGGTGAAAGAAAACCCTGACATACCAGTTGACATTACAAAGGGGAGACATTATTAGGAAGATTGTGTACTGTGTACGTAGTTGGGTGGCTTTTATGAAAACAAGAGTCCAAGAAAAGGATTCTTGCTTTAAGAAACACTCTTGTATTTTTCTATCCTATCACCTAGCAGATAAAACTGCAAGGAAAAGCATAAATACATATATTTTTAGGGGCATTTAATTATTATTTTTTAAACCCCTTTGACCTGATTTGGCTGCCGGATGATCTTTCAAAGTAACACCATCTCTTGGAAGTGAAGAGGTCCTACAGATCCGATCCCGGATCATCAGGGGTCACCAGGAAAGTGGTTAACAACAGGCAGCAATAGCTTCATTTTTTTTTTAAGATTTTATTTATTTATTCACCAGAGAAACAGAGAGAGAGAGATTGGCAGAGAGACACAGGCAGAGGGAGAAGCAGGCTCCATGCAGGGAGTCTGATGTGGGACTCGATCCCGGGTCTCCAGGATCACACCCTGGGCCAAAGGCAGACGCTCAACCGCTGAGCCACCCAGGGATCCCCATAGCTTCGTTATTTTTGTTTTTTTGTTTTGTTTTCTTTTGTTTTGTTTTCTTCATAGCTTCGTTTTTGAAACAACCAAGCAAGAGCTCTTTAGCTTCTGTATATGGTACGTCTTGATGTTGTTAAGTTTTGCTGTGATGAAAACAGTATTGTACAAATGAAAAGCAAGATTCTCTTTTATGTGGTTTACACTGTTGATCAGGACATGTTGATTGTATATCAAGTATAAAATAATTGGATGTATATTATTCATTGTTCTTATGAGTACCTTAGAAATAACGATACTGTGTCCTTTGTTAACAACGCGGTGTTGACAGTGGCTACCAATCATATCTGACCTACTGTAGATGTTTTTCCTGATAACTTTTTAAAATTAATTAATAAACTTTATTTTTTTAGAGCAATTTTAACTCCCGAAACTGAACAATTGAGCAGAAAGTACAGAGTTCCCACATCCTCCCTACCCCCCTCACCCGCAACCTCCCCCACCATCGTGTCCACACGCGAGCGGCCTGGCAACTGTTCATGTTCGGAGGCGTCCTGCACACCACTGGGCCGCTCCTCAGTACCGTGCCTTGCAGCCCGTGCATTCTGACCCAGGTCTGCAGACGCTGCACATCAGCCCCTAGGCCGTCTCCTCTCCTGGCTTCCCTCACTGTGGAGAAGCACAGAGCCAAGAGGGAATTCCTTGATGGATGAGATTTTTCTATGGCCGGCACCAAAGCACACAGAAGGTCTGTTGTGATTCTGCTAAATCACAAATTCTAGAAACCTGAGGGATTAAGAAGCACACCCTTGTGTGAGGGGCTGGGCTCGGTGCTCACAGCTCACCATCAACCTCCCTTTCCTGCTCCATGAGGACTTCGTGTGGCGGGAACACCCCTCTCCTATGCTTCGTGGAAGCCAGGAAAGTAACCACCAGCACTGAAGGAAATTTCTCTGTTAAGGTGGAGGTACAAGTTCCATAGAAACCTGGTTCTCCAGTCCTTGGGCAGATACGCGAATAAGCCTCTTCTTATCTGTACTAACCAGAGGGAGAGTCAGGAGATCAAACCCATCTCAACAACTGAGGAAAAGCAAACTTCTTGATGAAGCAGGTGACAGCACCAAGAGGGGGAGGTCAGCTTCTGGAAACCAAGGACTGGACACTGAGCAGCTGGGCGCTGGGAATGCACAGGGCAGGAAGAGGTGGGCGGGCAAGTTTTAAGCTGGCTTTAGGGAGTGGAACTAGCACCTGGAATCCACTCCCCTGGCCTGGAATAGTCCACAGGGCTTTAGGTTTCCTTGACTCGCAGTGCTCCGACTCCAGAGACTCAAACCCCAACCCTCCCTGCCACTGCTT